ATAAGTCTATAAGGGTGTGGAGAAAAAATGAATAATTAAAATGGATATAGGTTTAAGTTTTAATCAATCATTAAGCCTATGTTAGATGTATAAGTCTTAGCAAGTCTTAAGAGTTGTTTGTATCATGTGGAGAAGATAAGTTGATTATTATTTGGGAAATTGACGAGTTCAAAGAGTGGAAATTGAAATAAATAATTAAAAATAGTGATTATGGATATCGAATATGTTTTGTTTAAAACAATTTGTTGATATGGCAACCAAGAAACATTAATTAATCAATAATATTTTAGTTAAATAGTAACTTTAATTAATTTGAATAGAGTACTTAAAATATCTAATTATTACCATCTAATAATGGATATTAAAACTTTTTTCCATCTCTATATAATGAGAAAAAATAAATTGTTATTAATAAACATGGAAGATATGTTTATGTTTTGAAAAAGTTAGTTGATGATAAATTTTCGATTTCTTAAGTGATTGAAGTAGGTCACTATTGTAATTATGGTTCATTATCGCCAAATGGTGAATACTTAGTGATTTGGGATGAAGGATCCAAATATCTTTAAATCAGAAAAGCCAAATTTTGATAATTTTTATTCGATAATCAATATCAGCATTACAATTGTATTACAATATATAATATTGATTATATTAATTAAAGTAATATATTATTAAACATTTTAAATTAATCTGTAATTAAATGATTCTAAATGTTTTCTAATTTTTTATTGAAGCCAAAATCTGTATTTAATTGACAAAGATTTATATGAATTACAATAAGTTTAAAGTCCAATAATAAAATTTTTAAAGTAAATTCAATATGGGAAGTTGTTAAGTTAGCTCACAAACCACATATCTAAAAAAGGATGACGATTAAATTGAAACAACATCACAACCCAATATTTAATCAGTTCAATTTACTCCTCTTGTCTGTAACATTGTTGGGGATTAGGATAGAATGGATGATTTATTCTTAGATTTAGAAAGATAACCATCTCTAGGTATTATATAGCATACCTCTCATTCTTAAGAAAATGTAAAATTTATTATTATGGTAAGTTCTAGCTTAAATCTAAAGTCTAAATTACTCACGATCCTTAATCTCTCACTTTAAGCCAATCATAAAATGGAAACAAATCACCCAAGAAATCTAAAAACTTGAATGCCAAATTTAAAGAGATGATATATTGAAATACATTCACCGTAAGTACATTAATTTGAAATTATATTTATACACCATACTATAAATCAACTCATTTAAGACTTTTTCAAGATAAACTAGATATCTCAACCTCAATTACAACATATTAAAACTTTAATATTTATTAAAAAATAATATCTAATTAATTAAGAACGATAATTTACAAAATTAGAGTTACGAATCAATAATAATAATCTATATTCAAAGAAAGATAGATCTCTCTATTAATAAGATTTAATATAATGTCAGAGCTAGCAATCATACTCTAATTATATAAAAAAATGATTTTTTCATGATATAGAATAACAATATTCTCTAACATTCTTGTGAATTAGGTTATTTTTTTGGAGAATCCTAACTTATATTGTTAATTTTACATTCATTTAAGTAAATATATTCTCCAATAGGTTGTGTATCAGGTGTGATTATGCCTCATAATACATTCCTAATCATAAAAAGACTCTTATTTGCTCATTTCATCTTACCCATCTCTCATATTGGTATTAAATGAATGAAGTAAAGCACTTTAATCTAAATGATTCATAAATTCCTTATGAAATTACTTTACTAACACTCTTCAACCTCTCTATTGTATTTTAAATTGGAATATTAAATTATTCAGAATTGACCTCTATAAATAGAATGAATAATATATTTTAAATAAAAAAATAAGAGATAAAATTTAAAATCTTTCAAAGACTTACATAGATTGTCAATTATTTTTTAAGATTTAAAATAATATATTTAAATTTTAGAAAAGATGTTGTGTTTTCAATATTGAAAATAATATTTTTTGAAACCTTTTTAAATAATTTTGATTCATTGTTACTCTACTACTAATTCATAACTTCCAGGTCCTAATTCTGAATACTTTTCAACCTAAAATCTTCTTGATTTCCCAAAACTTGTATTAGTGTTACTTTTTTTTATATATTCAGATTAATAAAGAAAATCTTTAATATCATAGCTACCAGGTCCTATTAAATCAAATGGCTTTTATTTGTCCTCAATGCTTGATTNACCCAATATTTAATCAGTTCAATTTACTCCTCTTGTCTGTAACATTGTTGGGGATTAGGATAGAATGGATGATTTATTCTTAGATTTAGAAAGATAACCATCTCTAGGTATTATATAGCATACCTCTCATTCTTAAGAAAATGTAAAATTTATTATTATGGTAAGTTCTAGCTTAAATCTAAAGTCTAAATTACTCACGATCCTTAATCTCTCACTTTAAGCCAATCATAAAATGGAAACAAATCACCCAAGAAATCTAAAAACTTGAATGCCAAATTTAAAGAGATGATATATTGAAATACATTCACCGTAAGTACATTAATTTGAAATTATATTTATACACCATACTATAAATCAACTCATTTAAGACTTTTTCAAGATAAACTAGATATCTCAACCTCAATTACAACATATTAAAACTTTAATATTTATTAAAAAATAATATCTAATTAATTAAGAACGATAATTTACAAAATTAGAGTTACGAATCAATAATAATAATCTATATTCAAAGAAAGATAGATCTCTCTATTAATAAGATTTAATATAATGTCAGAGCTAGCAATCATACTCTAATTATATAAAAAAATGATTTTTTCATGATATAGAATAACAATATTCTCTAACATTCTTGTGAATTAGGTTATTTTTTTGGAGAATCCTAACTTATATTGTTAATTTTACATTCATTTAAGTAAATATATTCTCCAATAGGTTGTGTATCAGGTGTGATTATGCCTCATAATACATTCCTAATCATAAAAAGACTCTTATTTGCTCATTTCATCTTACCCATCTCTCATATTGGTATTAAATGAATGAAGTAAAGCACTTTAATCTAAATGATTCATAAATTCCTTATGAAATTACTTTACTAACACTCTTCAACCTCTCTATTGTATTTTAAATTGGAATATTAAATTATTCAGAATTGACCTCTATAAATAGAATGAATAATATATTTTAAATAAAAAAATAAGAGATAAAATTTAAAATCTTTCAAAGACTTACATAGATTGTCAATTATTTTTTAAGATTTAAAATAATATATTTAAATTTTAGAAAAGATGTTGTGTTTTCAATATTGAAAATAATATTTTTTGAAACCTTTTTAAATAATTTTGATTCATTGTTACTCTACTACTAATTCATAACTTCCAGGTCCTAATTCTGAATACTTTTCAACCTAAAATCTTCTTGATTTCCCAAAACTTGTATTAGTGTTACTTTTTTTTATATATTCAGATTAATAAAGAAAATCTTTAATATCATAGCTACCAGGTCCTATTAAATCAAATGGCTTTTATTTGTCCTCAATGCTTGATTTTTATCTTTTTGAGTGTTTCTTATCCACCTGATCGATCTCAATGAAATCTTTTATATCATAGCTTCCAGGACCAGGAGGACCAAATTTTTCTTGACTACTCCTTCTAAATTTTTCCATCTTTTTTCTTCTAGCCACTTATTTCATTTGCATTGCAGATTTTGGTCTTTAACTTAGGGTTTCTTTTTCTTTAATTTCTTTTTATTTCATTAGTTCTTGGATATATTTATCTTCCTTTCTATTGTAATAAGATCTGACCATAAGTTTGGGTTTGAGTAGTCGCTCTATTCTATCTATTTTTTTTCTCTCTACTTTCTAATCTATTTTATAGGCTCCAGGCCCAGGAGTTATAAACTTTGTATTTTCTTGAGATAATTTTCTTGCTGTGCCAAAGGATATGCTTCTCTAAGATTTTTGATTCAAGTCATATGTACCAGGACCTGGGAACTCTTAATGGTGTTCACTACAATGTCTTGAATTGAAAACGAATGTTTTTGATTACTTATTCGATAGAATATTGTATTATCCAGGTCCTGGATTTTAGAATTGTTTTAACTATTTTCTTTTCCCTTTGGTAAAACTAATGAAGGGACGGTTATATTATAGATGAGCCGGATGTTATATCTCATAGGAACCTGGCCCTACACTCTATTTTGACCTTTAAGAGTTCTGTCTTTAATATGTGTAGGAATTAGAGTTTTCAGGGTTTGACAAGGCTTATTCTTGAGTTTTTATTCGAATTCTGGGATTTGAATTTAGTTTTGTTGTCATACCTGACCTATTTGAATATGCACTCAGTCTCATTTCATTAAATAACTTATTGACTTATGGCTAGCTGGAAGCCACTCTAATATGATGATCAATTTTGACTACATTTAAGCAACTGGGAGAACCTTGTCGAAGTATTAAGTATCTAGCATCAAAAATTACTTTTTTTATAGTAATAATATTAATTAATTTAATTAAAAATAATTATTCTTCAGGTTCATTTATTTTTATCTTATAATTTGGTAAATACTTCGAATCACGTTTGAGTTATTTGGTCATCAGATTGAAAATCCATCTATTGATCATTTTCATACGCTCAAAAATACAGAGATTTAAGAATTGAATATAGCTTTGATATTTAAAATATATTAGTTCATTAAAATTAATTAATGGGATCTATTTATAATTAAAATATATTCAAAATTTAGATGTCTATAATATAGTTATTATTATTCTTCTTAATGATTGATAATTATGCTCAAATTAATTGATAAGTAAAATAAGACTCCTTTCCAATAAGCTTTAAATCAATCATAATTAAATCCATTTGATATTATCATATTTTTATTAAATTTAGTGTAATTCCTTAAAATGAATTAATGGGGGTTCTCATTTAAGCATTCATAAATAAAGGATGAATTTGATTCTTATGGAGGATTATTAAAAGTTGATTATTAAAAAAAAATGTAAAATAATTAAGACCTACCTTTAAAAGGTTACAAAACAAATAATAATAAAAAAAATAACAATAAAAGATCTAATAAAGATAGATAGAATTAACAGAAGGACCTATATGAATAAAAATATACAAATTCCAATGAGTTTAAGCAATATTCTCAAGCTAGCACATATTATAGTAATAATGAACAACAAATAAATTCAAATATTTATGAACCCAAGTCTTAATATTATTAATATAATTAACTTGGCGATTATCCTTAGAATTAAGATTCTTTGTATTAATCAAATTAGCCTTAAAAATCATAATAGCAATCTTAACACTAATATCAATAATAACATTAGTAATAGCAATAATACCAATAATAACAATAGCAATACTAATATCAATAATAATAACAATAGCAATAACAATAGCAATAATAATAATAATAATAATAACAATAATATAAATAATAGTAATATCAATAGCAATAATAATATTAACAACAACCCTTACCATTTTAACAGTAATCCTCAATTCCTGTTCAACCTCTTTATTAAAATTAATTCTAATTTAGTCAATAAGTACCAACACAATAAGAATAAACAAATCAATTGAATGTCTTGTAAGATTTATAGCTCATTTAACATCAAACTCAAAATGATACTGGCTTTACCGAAGTCTAAATTAATCAGAACAATTAGCTTTCAAAAAATAATTCCTAAATAAATTCGAGTTCTCAGATCCCCAAATCAATAATAACTTCGCTTCTAAAAGAAGAGTAAAAAGAGGATTGTTATCGTTGTTATCATAGATTAATAGATTATTTTTTTCAATATGCAGACATCGAAATTAAAATTTCTAATATTAAACCAATTGTTGAATAGAGACTGAATGAAATTTACTTGGAACTATAAGAATTGAGATTAAAGATATAGCCATTTGACATTGAAGACTAATTACGTGAAAATAGGACTTACTAAGTAAAAGAACAATAGGAAAACAACATCTCTTAAAAGGATAAAATGATCATTCTACATAGTCTCATGATTGAAAATCTATACCGAGAAGCAGAAAACTACAACTCAAAAATATTAATAAGCTATCCAAAATATCAATATAAAATAAATCCATTAGATCAGCGCTACGAAGAAAACGCTAAAAAGTTTTATTAAATTTTCAAAAATAAATGGGATAGTCACATCATATTGATATAAGAATGCAAATCAGAATTTGAGGCTATTTCCAAAATAAAATTAATGAATGTACCCAGAATCAAATAATCCTTTTGCAGAGAGCTTGGTTTTCATCATCCAATTATTATATTGACATCTGATCTTAATCTGGTGACCTTGATTAACACAGCTTTATATAATGATGGATTAGCATTATAAAAAAAAACCAATGAAATATTAGTTATAAATTCATTTGATCAAATTTAGACAGAAAATATCTAAATTTTAAACGATAAGCTCTAGAAATTTTTTGAAGATCCTTAATACATAAAGAATGTTAAAGAAACTTTCGATATTGACTGCTAACCACAAAAGGACATTAACGAGATTGATAAATCCATATAAGCACTTTAAGCAAGAGAATTTATAGAAATAACAGTTACTACTCCAATATTTAATTTATAAAAAGGAAAGTATTCAGTATAAGCTGAATTGTAACTATGGATAGAAGGCTATTAAACACAAGAAATGATTAATTAAAAATTAAAAGCTATGAAATAACAATTAAATGAAATCTACAATCCATCAATAATCATAAAAGTAGTTGATAAAGCATAAATAAATCTGTGGAAAAAATATTTAGGGTCTCTTTTTGAAAATCAAAATAATTCAAAAGAATGCATAACTAGAGATGATAGGGGTGGATTAACAATTGAACTTAATGGGCATTAGGACGTAATTTTCGAAAAGAAAGAGAAAATAGAAACTTTACTTAAACAATTTTAATGTAAAAATATAGAATATTAATGTGAAAATGATTTATTTAAAGTATTAGAGAGTAAGAGAGCTTAATTATCAAAATTATTTAAAGTAATTTTTACTGAAATTGCTTCAGAATTTGGACAATGCTAGATTTAAATGATTGATGTTATTGATAAGTCACTGACTGTAATAATTGAGGTTTACTTTAATTAAGTTGAAAACAAATTTAATAATATAAGTACAAAAGTTACTCAGTTTTTGGATGAAATAGATTACATAGTCTTAAAGATTAATTTTAAAGAGTTCTTACAGTTTTAAGGTCTAAAGGAGATTTAATTTTAGGATTAGTATCAAGTTGCGGTAGCAAAATTGAGTTAAAATGAATATGGGATCATTGGGAGATAAAAAGATTTAGATTAAATAAAATAAATGCAGAAATAGTTTGATCAATCAAAGAAAGAAAATTGTACTTCAGTAATAATCGAATGTGATAATAAATTGGTTTTTAATAGAATTAAAAAGTAAAACTCTAAGCCTATTTAAGATGGCAATGTTGATGAAGAAAACGCTGTAGTGATTAGCTTTCCATAAGAGAATAAGATAATGATATAAGCATCTAAGAAATAGATTTAAATAGAAAAGGAGAAGATGAATAAAAAGATCCAATAATTTAAAAGTGAAATTGCAACCAAGTCTTGTTTATTCTCCGACAAGGAAGTCAAATTTATTGATAAAAGCTTTAAATCACTGTTGGAAAAATTACAAAAGAACAATGAAATAATAATTTCAACTTCTTCTCAAACTCCAACATCATTACAATCAGATAAATCGGCGGCCTGTACTTTGGAATATTAAAATAAGAAGATTCAAATAATCTATGGAGACATCTCAACTATTTAATGTGATGCAATAGTCAATTCTTGTAATAACAAAATATCTTTTGGCGATTCATTATAATTAACTGGTGTTGCTTAAAGTATCTTTTAGTTAGGAGGAACATAATATTCATCAGCTTGTTAGGATTACATCAGAAAGAATTATGAGTTAGAGATAGGAAAGGTTTTTACCTATAGGATGCCAAATGATAGACAGATTAAATATATACTTAATGTTGCTACACCAGTATATTCTGAAGGATTTGTAACAGATGAGGATTTGGGAAAGATTTAAATTAATATAGAGGCGATTTTCAAAGAAATTCACAACTTAGATGTAAAGACTTTAACTCTTCCTATTTTTGGAGGAGGGGCATGCGGATACAGTTTTAATTAAGTTACTTAAGTGGTATTGAATAGTGTTATAAATCATTTATATTTTTCAAAGAACTCCATTGAAACTATTTACATTGCAGAGTTGATAGATATCAAAATTGATTGGTTGACTAAAATACTCAAAAATATATTGAAACCTCCTGAGAAGGAACGCTAAGTAAAATATTAATGGTAATGGTAAGATAATTAAAGCTTTAAAGATTATGATGATGAAGATATTAATAAATAAATAGATGAGGCATATGATTAATTTTTACAGACAGGCCAAGATTAGAAGGTGATGTTGAAATTTCCATTCTCCAAACAGCCAGGAACTCATTCTGTTAATTTGGATTCACAAATAGTTACTGATATCTCATTAAAAACTACGAAGAAAATAATTTCAAAGAGTATATCTAACTCAAAGAGATTTTATTTTGATGAAGACGTTTTAGACGATTAACTAAATGAATATTTGATACTGTAAGAATTGAACAATATAAAATAATTCGAGATCTTTTATAAGAAACATTATGTAGAATTTAAAAAAAATGAGATGTATTAAGTGAATTAGGAGACTCAATATAAGAGAATCATAAAGCCCACTTAATACTTGCCAAAAAAGAATAAGGCAAAAGGAAAATCTAATAAATTAGTTGGTAAAGACTTCACTTTGGTTGAATCTCAGAACTAAATTTCCAAATTAGTGTAATAAAAATCTACCTGTGATCAATTAACTCTATAATCATTTGATGGAGCACTTAATGAAATGATATATAAATAGATCAAAGCTGAATTGGAAAAATAGGTTTTGGAGTATAAATTTGATGTTCCTAACATTCCAGATAATGGACTTTAAGAATTGTAATAATTTATTTAATCAATTGCATTGTCCATCATTGGGAGATTTAAATAAGGGGAAAAAATTATTCTAAAGATTTTTGAGAAAAAAAAAAGTAAGATTGTCAATTACATTAATTCAATTAAATCCTAAGAAAGGTCTTATCCAAGTGGTTGGGTACCATAAAGTCAAAATTTGTTAAAAGTTTCCTTGTAACCAAGCTCCTTAGAATACTAAGAAATAGCGAACTAGTTTTATAAGACTGATAAAGGATAGATATACGAGATTTACAGAATTTAAAATAAATCCTTATGGGATAATTATATCGCTGAAAAAAATAAGTTAATAGAGATACATAAATAATAAGGTACAAACTTAAAAAATAATGAAATTTCAAGATATCTATGGCATGGAGTCAGAACGTCTCATCCTTAAATAATCTATTCTGGCTTAAAGGAAGCTTTTGATTAAACTTACAGCAATGTAATTATTAATTATAATTTAGATTGGTATGTGGGGTGCTGGTATCTACTTTGCAGAAAATGCTAGTTATTCAAGAAATTATTCCTATAAATTATAATAATCAGATGGTGGAAACAATGTAGGTAAACTGATATTTTTATGTTGTTTGGTAACAACTGGGAGAGTCGAAGTAAGATTACCAGATCAAAGTATCAAAAGACCTTCTTAAGGTTTTGATTGTGTTTCAGGCAACACTCAAGGAAGTGATGTGTTTATCCTCTACTCAATGGATATAAGAAGAGCATATCCAGCATATGAAATAATCTATACATGATTTATGAAAATGATTATTAATTATATAGCATAATAATAATAATAAGAAAGCTTCTTAAGAAAAAATATAATTAAACAGTAATCCTTAATTATTAATGTTTTCAATTAGCCATCAAAGAACAGAAACAAACCTTTTCTTAAGTCTCCTCTTCTTAAATAGCATGAATAACATTTCTTAAATTCTCTTAGGTAATTTCAACAACTTTTGTGTTAATTAGACATGTTCTAATTGAAATAAATAAAATATTTACTCCATAGTTTCGGTAACATAGAAATTTGGAAATGAATTTATTGCTGGTGGACTGATGTAGTCTATAATATTTGGAAATAAAATACCTTGATCTAACTTAAGTTTTGATGCTTCAGCACAAAGATTCATAGTGAATTTGCCAATATAACCATTCCAAGATTTGTAGAAACTATCTATACCAATATTCAAATAAAACTAAGGAACTAAAAAATGATTAATCTTATCAAAATGAATAGATTCTTATTTATTCTAAAATTTTATATAACCTTCTGCAATTCTTGTTACTCTGTTGTATGAAAAGAGAATAAAATGCCATTTTGTTTCTTGTTTATCTTAAGGAATTATCTGAACAATATTTGGTTCTCCATTCCCGTTTAAATTTTAGTAACTGTATGTAGACAATGCATAGATGCCATCCTATGAAGGTGAGACCCAAGCAGCTAAAGTTCTATCACCTAAGATTTGATCATTTTTGTTTGTTTCACCTTTATTAATATGCAAACGAAATGCTAAATGCCATTAGTCCATTCTTGTGGGTTCCCATTTAAACCATCCGGAAACACTATATTCATTTGGAAATTTATCTTAATAATTAGACGGTATTTCTGGTATAGGGTCCATTTATTCTTGAAATTTCTATGTATCTTAAATAAAAATTTGCTGCAAATATTAATCACAACATTCTTATGGTTATGGATTACATTCTAAAGAGTATGAATTTAATTTATCTATTGTATCAATAAAAGCAGCAGATCCTATTTTAAATGTAGCCTTAGTGAATTACCCATTTATAGCTGGGTATTTAGAAAGATCAGAACCTCCAATAATAAGTTTTAAATAGATGATAGCTTGATGATCTGCATTAATTGCAACAGATTAAGGTTCTTAGTCAGAATATTTTACAAAACCAACAGCTTTTTTGAAAGTACTGCTGTAACTAAAATGAAAATATGTCCAAACCCCTTCAATATCATCATATTTAATTTACTCATTTAGATTCTAATTGTTGTTTTTATGATCTTCAGTAAAGAATGCGTAAAATTCCTAGCCTTGCCAAATCCCTAATAATCTATCTCCTTTTTCTGTATCTGAATATTTTAAATTGTTTGTTAATCTGCTCACAAAATACCATGGCTATGTCTTTCCTTAATACATTGGTTTTGGATATCTAGTTAGATATCTTAACCAAAATGAATATCCATATGCTTCGATTAGATTTTCTGTTACTTCAACTACTGCTATTGGTTATATATCATCATATGCTGAATGAACCGTAGTATGATCAGATATTTAACAATGATACTCAGAGTTTAACTCAGGAATCTAAATAGGGAGGGTGAGATGATTGGCTAATTCAGGCATATATGATGGATGGAATTATGAATTATACAGATCTTAGCATGTGACATATTTGAAGTCAGCAATATACCCATTAAATCCCGGATAGAACTAATCTTTACCAATAAAAATTCTAAAAACTGGAACTAAATAATGATTTACATTTTCAAATTTAAGATCAATTTTTTCATCCTTAAATATTATAGAACCAGAAGCCTAACGAGTTTCTCTAATGTATTAAAATGAAATAAAGTGCCATTAAATATGTTTATTCTTATGATCAATATTTTTAACAATATTTGATTACCCAACTCCGAACATATTTTAATACGAATATGTAGAGAAAGTATATAACTATTTATCACTTAACCAAACAGCAAGTGTTCTATCTCCTAATTCCAAATTTTTGTTTGTTTCCTGATTGTTAATTGTAATTCTAAATGCTAAGTGCTCAGGTTATTAAACTGTTTCTACCCATTTGTACCAACCTCCTACGCCATATAAGGTTGGAAACTCCTTCTTTTAATTATCAAAGTGTTCATAGGATTCTGGTTAAGAAGAATCATATTTTTTAATTCCTTAGCTTAATGATATGATTTCATTTTTATCTCTACAATCAGGTTCTGGTCTATGGTTACAAGCCATTACAAATTTATTAAATTCATCTTCTGCATTCACAAATGATCCATCACCTATCTTGAATATGGGTGATGAGATCTATCCATTGAATCCTGGATACTAATTAAGATCTGAACCTCCTATAATCAATCTTAAGAAATTAGGTTATTCATGTAATGCATCAAGAGCAACTATTTTAGTCGTATCTTCAATTCTCAAAATTCCAACTGCTTAACCTTATTTATAACTAAAATGAATATATGTCCACACTCCTTCAATATCTTCATAAGGCAATGTTATTTACAAATTTGGATTTTCGGATTTTACATCATTAGTAACAAATGTATATCCAGCTTATCCTAACCAAATGGCCAATACTCTATCACCCATACTTATATTATCATAAGGATCATTTTTAGTTAATCTTGATATGAAATACCATGGTTCGCTTATGCCTTTCATTTACTATTCGGGCCATCGTGTCAGCCACCGAATCCAATAACCATATCCATATTCATTCACTCCTCTTATTTTATCATCTTCTACTTTTATATCCAAAACTGAAGTCTAGCTTGAAGACATATCTACAATAGAGGATTGGCCACTTACACAAAGTTTGCTTGCCATTTATTCTTAGTTAAGATCAATTAAATTGATGCTATCGATTTTTTCTACTTTAATCTAATCTGGAAATTCAATAAAAATATCTTTTAATTGAGTTTATTCTGCTTTACTTTATAGCAAATAATTAGTGGGTTCATTATTACATTTATTTCTAATTCTTTGGATTTTACTGATTACTTCTTCATAATTTATATCAATAAGATTTTCGCGTTCTCCTTCTATTTCAGCAAGTTCTTCTAAGAAATTGTCTATTTTTTTTGATAGGATCTCACAACTTTTTACTCTCTCCTGCTTATCCAAAGTCTTAATTATTTAATTTAGTAGAAACCTGATATCCTCGAATTGATGACTTATCAATTTATTTGTGATATCAATACGTCCCAAAGAGTCAGATTTTTGTTTAAGTAGATAAGAGTATTAAAAATTCTCTAAATAAACAAATGTTTAAAAATTCTACTCCTCTAATTCCCTTTTGACTAAAACTTATAATTCTCTCAATTCATTAATATGTTCTCCAATTTATCCATTCTATACATATTGGAGAGTCTAATGTAATTGATTGAAACCTTCTTCGGTTTCTATTAACTTAGTATGGTCACATCCATATGATTCTATATCAATCTAAGTCAAAAATTGAATATTAATTAAATGGGATTTAGCAACTAAAATTTATACTAATCATTGCTACTTAATACTTCAAAAAGTACCCAAATTGCAGCAACTCTGCTAATCATAATTATTAATAATAAAAACGGATTTCAAAAGCAAATAAGTACGAAATCAGATTTGTATTATAAAAAAATTAAAACAAATTTAATAATGCAAATAATCTGTTTAGCTAACATCAATTAAATCATGTTTTTCATTCTCCTAATCTATTCTCAAGCTAACGAAAGCTTTGATTTAGAGACTTTTCAATTAAAATTGCATTTTTATCATGTTGAAAAAAATTAGTTGTCCTTTTGTTCTTAAAGGCCTATTATAAGTTGCAAAATATGACTTACTCAAAATAGTAATTCTTATATTTTAAATTAAAATGTATCATCACATTGCATTATTAATAGAAATAATTAAAGTTCAAAATAAAGCCATTTGATTATAGGTAAAATGAAAATTTAGAAAATCTTTTACAATTCTTATGTTGAACTAAAATATGTAGAGGAATATGAACTATAAGATCAGAAAGACTATCATATATCAAGTATATTATATTTACAATTTTTAGCATATCTTAAAGTTTTAGAGTTTAATTGGATTATCAGATCAAAAAAGTTGCTGAAAAATTAGTATCAAAAAGTTGGAGCTCTTACAATTTGCATCTATCCAATAGTCAGATCGAAGTTTAGATGATATTGTTGAAATAAACAAAATAATTTGTCAGTTTTCGATTATTATGGGAATTCTGCATCTAGATAACTAAAATAGATTAATGCTACTTATAAGGAATATGTGAAGTAATATTTTATTAAAGTATTTCCAACATCATATAATCACCCTCCTTTTTTTTATTGATAAAAGACCAAATTAGGAGGAAAAATATATATGAGAAATATGGAGGGTTTAATTAATACAATTCTCAGTTGTCGTGAAATTACTCTTGAGGGAAGTTTTTGTTAGAATTTAGAATTTTCTGAATGGAACTTAAAAATAGAAAATGGACTTTTCAAAGTGACAGGAATTAACAATTAATAAGTTTTGGAAATTGAAGCCCTGAGTATCAAGTTTAATCTAATTCTATTAGCTTTTAAAATATATTTCTTTGCTCATCAATATTTAGAAGTAAAAAATATATTACACTCCTAAACTAAATGAGAAATTGCAAAATGATAGAGAATGAAGAATAGCTCTAATGCATAAATAATTAGCATATTCATAGGTCAGCTATTATTATCTTGCTTGATAAAGATCTTGAAGCAAAAGAAAGATTAGCGTGTCATTAATGTTTAATAACTCATCTAGGAAATTTCAATGGAATTTCAATCAATTAGGGATTAAGTAAAATACAATAATTAAAGGAAGAAATTTTTGATGAAATTGAAATCCATTTTTCAAAAACTTATAATTGTCTAAAGACTTTTAAAGAATAAATTTTATAAATCAAGCAAGAGTTTTTATAAACATTAAATTAAGTAATCGAACCGCTTGAATAATGGATGAAACAGTTAGTAGAATTAAAAGAAGGCTATTCATCATATAGTTTATATACTGAAATTGAAAATCTTACTAAACCCACTAATTTGTTAATAGAATTTGAAAAACAATAGTTTCAAGATAGAATACAAAAAATGAATACCTAATATTTGACTAAGACTACTTAATATATAAAAGTATTAGACAATTTCATTACAGACTAGCAATTACTTCTCAAATTGAATTAGTTATAAGAGTCAACCTTGAATTAAGAAAAAATACTTAGCATAGAGAGTGTTAACGCTGAATAATAAATCAAAGAATCAAGTCAAGTAATTAGTTAAAGTTATAAATAAGAAAGAATTTAACATAGATTAATTCAAGAAGTTTATTAAGAACAAGAGTGTTATGCATTAGATTTTAATAAAGATAATACCCTTGTAGCTGCATCATGTAAAGAAAATATTAAAATTTGGAAATTTATAGAAGGACAGTTGATTGATTAAAATATATTGCTGACTGGCCATGAAAGCGATGTTTTCTGTATAGTATTCAGTAAAAAGATTAATTGGATTGTATCTGGGGACAGTACTAATCAAATTAGAAGTTGGATTGAATGTAAAGATATTCAAGGAAAAACTTATTGGGAAAGCTCTTTATCACTTGAGATGCATACATCTGAGATTTTATGTCTGCATTTAAATAACAGTGAGGATGAATTAATATCTGCAAGTGGAGACAGTACTATAAAGGTATGGGGAGTGAACTGCAACTTAAATAAAATTGAATACTAATATTCCCTTGAGAAACACACAAATTATGTTGATAAAATAAACTTAAATTCAAAAGAAACCTAAATGGTGTCTTGTGGATGGGATTAATAAATTATTGTATGGGAAAAGGATGATAGTAAAACATGGTAATTTAAATATATTGTTGAATAATCGATTGAAGACATTGGATTCAGAATAGGATTTTTATAAGATGACACAGTTGTTTGGTGTTCGCTTAGCGAACCCTTTTTATACGTTTTCAAATTGTAAAATGGCATATTTTAAGAAAGGTCAGATTTATTAGTTAAACTTGGAGATATTAAAACTGAAAATAATTATAACGACTTTAATCTTTTTTAATTAAAATATTTACAATAACAAAAAGTGTTAATTCTTAAGTATAACCGATATGTATATTTTATGAGAGAGAGTTTAGATTCCACATTTATTTTCCCTTGTGATCCTATTGATTGTTCCTCAATTGAATGCTATGGTAATATAACAGATAATGGAAGGCATTTAATAGTCTGGAATGAAAACTCAAAGTAATTATAAAGTTTTGAAATTGAATATCAATGATTAAAATAATTTTACATTAACTGAACACGCATAATTAAATTGAAATGGAAAGTTTTCCCCATTAATTTTAAATTTCTTATTCTATTTGAAGGGATTTACTATTAGATCAGTTAATTAATAAGATTTATCCATTTTAGATATTGTAAAATTTATTTATTGTAAATATTGTATCATAAGCTTGAGTTTTAGAACTCTAGATTTCTTTTTTATAAGTGATGAACATCAAAAACAGAACTGAGATATTTTTTGGGTTGGGAAGCCAAGGAAAGAAATTTGAAAGATGAAAAAAGGGATGGCTTGATGAGACACATAAAGAGATTTTAATTGGAATGATTAATAAACTATATAATTCTGATTAGAATCCATCAATTTATTGATTGTTTTAGTTAATTTGTCTCTTCTTTAACTTCGATGAACATTTAAGTAGCACTCTTCTCCCAATTCAGCATAATCAATCTCAAAAATAAGACTAATGCACTCACTGACAATCCACATGCCCATCCAAACCATAATCCCTTTAATCCATAACCATGATAATATCCCCAATATATTCCTGTACCTATTCCGATAGCATATTAGCATAACAATTGAACATTTATAGTAAATGTTACTTCACCCAGAGAACCCAATAGATTAGCAAGCATAATTTACATCCCACCGATTGTAAGAGTAGGCAAGAATAACTTTAAGTTGTTAGACAAAATAAGAGATGTTTCATTATCCATATAAAAGAGAGCAATCCATTATTTCTTAAATACTACCAATAGGAAACTCAACAATATTCCAGTCATTAAACTTGTTGCTAAATAATGCCAGACATGTTTTCTTCCCTTTTCGTATTCCTGATCTTTGAAGAGTCTCCTTATTCTAGAAGCAGCTGTCATTGCTACACCCAAAAAAAACATGTACAATGCTTAAGCTGTGAATATGAGACACACACAAACCGAGAATTCTTCATAGGTTAGCCACAATGCAACAAATCCCATAATTTCGAAAGACACATTTTATAAATAGTTTTTGAAAGAGGAATGCAATAATCCATATGAAAATTGAAAGATTGATTTTAAAGTTCTTCTGTCCCATTCAATCCATGCAGGATGGTTTTTTTAATATTTAAAGATATAAATATACAAAAGCAGAGTAGATGTACAACTTGAAAAATTCTTACACCATGCTGCTCCTCTTATGCCAAGATCCATATATACTATGAATTATTTAGACAAATAAATATGTAAGATCTTTTTATATTAATGAAATTATTTACTGTAGTAAATGTGTGTATTACTAACACTGGATAATCAATGCCCATTGACTTCAAATAATTCTTTGTGCAATCAAAATAAGTGAATGCATACAGTGCAGGTAGCATTTCCCATACGTATTGAATAGCTTTCTATGCTACAATTCTTTGATAATGAGAATAACTTACATTGGAATATTGAATTAGGAAAGGATATATGTTGAACCAGCTATAGCAGGAGTTATCACAATCAGAAAAACCCCATTCAATAATAAAGATCTTTAATATGAGATCCCAATCTTCACATATTGATGTTATTTAAACTATCTAGTCATAATAGTAGTGATGCTAGAATTCATGCAAAGCAACAGCCCTTTCACCAATAAATTCACATATATTGTCCCAAAGCCTATCCCAATCACGTCTTCAATAATCATAAATCATTACTGTCTCTTCCTATGATGAAATACATATTCACTAACGTTGTAAGAATACTCAATTCCTATTTTCATAAATCTCCACATCATACCATTCCAATAACTGTAGGCAATGCCTTTACCAATAACGTTTCGAAACTGGACATAAACTGAGAAAACGTTGTGATTTCCATATTCTCCTCTGTCATCTATAACCAATTATATAATAAATTAAGAATATAAATCGAATTGGATATTGCACTTCATCCTATAAAATCAAATAAACTTTGTATTCCATCATATCAATGAATATTAAGATTTTGGATGCCAATTCATTAGCTCTAACCTTAAACAAAGGAACTAAGTACATTTCTCATTTTCCAAATCGATCTCTCATAAAATTTCCATTGTCTCTTCTATGAGTATTTAAAACAGAGCTCCCATCTCTTATGAATAGATTCTCTCCTCCCTAATTTACTATTTGCACTTCATAGCTTGGTCAAATTCAATTAGAACCCATTAAATATACAACAATTGTCTAAACTTTCTTATTGAGCATAATTTTAAATGTATTCACTTATTCTTTACTTATCTTAAACAACATTTTTATGATGATAGCTTCATTCTTACTCGTTTCCTAAATATATATATTAGTATTCTCTCAAATTAGAATTATATTTAAATGGGTTCACTTAAAAATTTCAAATACTGATACTAATTGATATTTATTATAATTCTAATAATTTTGAGTCAGTTTATTAAGAATGAATACACGCTTTAAAAATAAATTAACAAATATTAGAGCAATCTATCATTCAAATAATTATAAAATTACAGCTTAATCTATCTAATAAGTAATTTTTGTTGAAAAAATGTAAATTATTAGAAAAATAAATTATTATTATTATAATTAAATACTCCAAATACTTTTCATTTATTATTTAATCCACTATTTATTCATTAATCAATCATAAATTATAAAATAGAGTGTTTCTTCATATCAAAATTAATTGTCATTTCAATATCTGACACATAGATCCATTAGAATTTATTGATTAGAATATTAATATATTAATGCTTAAGTAAACATCATTCTAATAAATAGAATTCCTAAAGAAAACATTAAAAATTATTCCATTAATTATTTAAATCAAAAGTAACTTTTATTAGAAATGATAATACGAAAAATTGAATTATAAAATATTTAATAATGTTATTAAAATTATTTAGATACAGAGATAGATTTAAACGATATAATAATTTAAATAATCCCAGACCTTTAAAAAGTTAAATGAAATTACTCTCTGATTTAAATCAAATTATTATTATTATATGAATATATATTTTATTAATAAAGCTATTTAACGTTGAAACATATGCTGATAAATAAGATTCCATATGTGTAAGTTTTGCATCAATACTTGAGAGCCCAAAATCTCTAATATTATTATTAAATAAAATGTAAAAAGCAAAAATTTTTATAATAATCTTTCGATTAAAATATTTCTTAATAAAGAAGGTCTATGGTAATAATTTTCAAATGAGGCTACCTTAATAACCTTTCATTAAATTCTCTTTAATATCCTAATAAATAATCTCAAAATAATTGAAATTTTTGATAAAAAGTTCGAGGTAATGTTTTACTTTAAACTATAAATTTGGAGTAGAAGCAATAACCATAAATATGTCACTATTTAGCTATAATGTTTTTCAAAATTCATGTGATATTATAGATCAGCAAAAGTGATAATTATAATTATAATTCATAATTTAAGAATATACCTTATTAATAAATTCATTATGTTTAACTAAATCTTATTATATTTTAATTTATATTGCAAGATTAATAATATTGACTTCAATATATTCTTAGACTTCAATTCGCATAAAAATATATGATATTCTTCCCTGATTTATTTATTTTATAATTAATAATAATTTTAATTTATGATAGTATTTTGTGCTAATTCATTGCCTTAAGTCATTGCAAATTAAGGTCTACGATAATTCTAAGTAATTTTATAATCTTTGAAACCTTAACTGATACTTAATCAATGTGGAGGAGATATTGAAACTCGATCACAATATTTTAAAAAGCATTTAAGTAAATTTAATGAACCATTTCATTTAATTGGTTATGGGATTGCTGGATTGGATTTAAGATATCTTTTAAGTCAAAATAGCAATATTCGAGCGAAATCTTTAATTACTATAGGCACTCCTCATAGGGGATCAATTTTAAGTGATTTGTATAGAAGAAAGAGAATTGAAGATGATGTTATTGAGCCAATTTGCAGAGTATTAGGAGTTAGATAAAGTTTCTTTGAGGAAATTAATAGTGAAAATATTAGAGATTTCAATTTGGTGGCCACAAATTAAGAAGCTATCAAAGTAAATAAGATTAGAATATACAGTATTTTAGTTTGAATGCAGAGACAGAAGTTGGTTAGATGTCTTAAATTTATCAAGCTAGTGGCACTATCATAGAAAGTGAAAAAGAATATCCAGTAGAGAGTGGATCAGATGGAGTCTTTGCTCATAATGAGACAAAATGGGGATAACACGTTGCTACACTGGATTGTGATCACGGGGCAATGATTGGAATACCAAACTAGAGAAATGGAGAATAAACTGTGGATATAATTTAATAATTGATCTAAGATTTTTGATCAGATAAAACAAATATTATGTAATAATTGTCAATGTAATTTTTCATTTTTTTAAATTTATATCTATTAATAATGTGTTCTTAAGAAATATTGTGTTTTTGAACAAACCTGTTTTATTTTTCATTATTTACTTCAATATTTAAGGATTTTATGAAGACTTTACTTGTATTCTACAGAAACAATAACTATTGTTTTATCCAAGAAATAGAATTATATTTAATATTTCTCAATATATAACTCAACTTTTATAGATTGGAATAATCATATTTGAATTCATTTAATATTTATTATATTCATAACTTGTTTAGAAATACGTTCTCTTGGATGTTTTGATAGTAATTTTGGGAATGTCCCAATAGATTGAAAAGAGCGAGGCAATTTGCTTACACTATTGGCCAAGGCATTGGGTGGTATTTAGGGTAATTCAAGGGTGATAGTAGGAACAGGTTAGGTGGGCTTAGCAATTTCAATTGTAGGTTTTTTAATAAATAAAGGATGCTCTTTTTATTTGTTGAGGTCACTAGATTAAATGATTAATCCATCTAATTATTCTTCACTGAGTATTGAAATGGAACCATTTAATTTTTATAAGATGTTGGATGTGATTGAATGATTGACAGTAGTTTTAGGTTATCGAAAGCTGAGTAGGCTATCATTATTTTGCATTTAGGGTTGATCTTCCTAAAATGTTCTACTAGTTTTACTCTGTTGGATCTGGGGTTGCGAGATGGATAATTATAGAGTTTTGTTTTGAAATTGGTTGTTAGATTATTATGAATTTGTTATGGTTTGGTATTCTAACTTTGTCATGTGTACATTTTGATTCAAAAGGGTATTCTGCAATTCACTATTGTCTTTAATGTCGATTAAGGGCAAGGGTCTATCTTTTTTCTTTTCAGATTTGCCGTCATAAAATGAGACTCCCTCTTTCATAACTATTAAGTCTATCTAGGGTACTGTGGTTTTGACTGCAAATTGATTCATAGAGTTTTAATAGGCACTCTATCTTTTCCCGGAAGAGATTAATTCAGATTATAGCTTATGATTAGGAATGAGGTCTCTCACTTCAACAAGATTTCTTTTTTCTTGAATGTTTTAATGAGACTTTGGATATCTATCAATATCAGGTGGTTTTTAGACAATTACTTTACCCTCAAAGTCATATGTATATTTAGCTGAGTATAAAAATAGTATTTGTACATTTAGAGTCAACATTCAATCGCTTAAGTTGTCTAGTTTATTCTTGAACCTCTTAGTTTTTTATCTTATCATTTTACAACTTTAGCTATTGTATTTACATCTACCTCAATTTAGCTTATCTCATGCTTTCAATGTTTGGGTCAAAATCAATATCATCATCCAACTCACCCATCTTGATTAATTAGCATTCATAGAGATCTACGTTGCTTTAAGTTTATCCCATTGATATTTTGGTTAATCTCTTCGTCTCGCTTCTCCGAATGGGAGAATGTTCCTAAGACTTTACTAATGCAACTTGTCCTTGACATCTTCTCCAGTGATCAATGTTCACAGGATTGGGTTCGTCATCCTCGAATATAGTGTCATCATAATCATCATTTGATATATAGTGCTTTTTAGTAAGGGTCTTGACTTGATCTTAAAACCACTGATAACCAATCCAAGGCATTTAGGATTATATATATTTTTCACCCACTATTACACTTCCCAAATGAACTATCAATTTGATAGAGTCTCTAGCAATTATATGAGACTCGTTAATTTGTTACAACAGTTACTCTGTAAAAATGTCCATTAAATAATAATTCAATTTATAATGTTGGCAAATAATATTTGTTTAACTTAAAAGTAATATAGTGAAAATACACAAATTCATTTTTCAAAAAGAAATGCCAAAATTACAGATGAATAATTCTTGCCATCATTGTCATTATAACTCTTCTTATAATATTTTCATCATTACTTAACTATTTTATAATAAATTAAAGAATACAACAGATTGGCTATTTTTAATATGTAAATTTGAAGAACCTTTTAAAAAAGAACGATAAACATATCAAAATCCGATTTGAAATGGTTTATTAAGTAGAACAGAAAAATAGTTATCACTTTTTACACTTTCTTTCATAGACTCACTCTAAACGGATGATGAAAAAGTTTATGAATGCATAATTGAGATAGAAATTTTAACTAAAAATATTTAAGAAATACTATTATGATGAATTGCAGTATAAATGAAATATTAATAATTGAATTTAAAATGGTTACTGGATAAATACTAATTATTCCTATTGAAATTGGTTACAGGAGAAGAATACTATACCTGTTGAAATTAAAATCAACAGGATGTCATATTCCTTGATTTATGTCCATATAAATTAGTTATATTATATAATTAAAGAGATCATTTAAATTTAAATAGAAGTAGAATCAATATCTCGTTTGAGTGAGGGATTTAAATTTAAGTCGAGAATGAGTTAGTGAAAACACAATTTGATGGAGAATTTAATTATATTTGATTAACTCAAATATTAAGTGAATATTAAAATTAATAAATAAAAAATAGTAAGAATGCTTCCTTCTAGATCATCTCTTCATGATTACATTGAAGAAACTTGTACTAATATTTTAGAGAAAAAAGAAGTTCCGTTGTAAGAAAAATCACGGATCGATAGGTTTTTATAATCAAATTATTCTAGGGATATTGATGAATATATTAAAAATTAAAACAATGATCAGTAATAGGAGGAGGCCAAAACGTTTATCAAAGTGGCAATTAAATGCATAAAAACACATTGTGCAAAAAATGTAAAATGAAGAATTTATGTATGATAGATTCTCCCTAAATTCTAAGATAAATATAAGGATGCTTTATACCATGTTGAAACATTCCTTCAGGTACATAAAACCTTCGTGAAATCTGTGAAATCATTTAAAATTCTGTTGTATTAGGCTGTAATCAAATCGAATTATTATTAAGGCGCAAACATTGTAACAAGAGAGTATTCCAGAGTTTTACTCAAGTTTGTTTGATAATATATTTGTTGAAGAGTTTTAACTTGTGTTTAAAAATGTTTTATTTAAATGTGTGGTTGATATGATTAAGACTGTAATTTTGAGTGAATTATAATTTTTAGGCATGCGAAGAGGAACAGAAACTAATAAAAATTAGTGATTTGCTGTATGAATTTGGGAATGTGATGTCCTAATTATAAAAATCAACTGAGGAAGCTTTGGATTTTAAAATAGAACAAGAGTTTAAATAAAAAATATTTGATTATTTCGAAGAGAAATATTAATAGAATTATAAATCCTGGCATCAAAGTGTGAACACGTAAGCGTATTTGAGGAAGGTTTAACAACAGAAGGAGATAAATGAAAAGGTTTTGAAGTTTGGAGATAAGACAATCTTAGAATAAGTGAATAGAATCCTTAATTCGCATCTTTTAACATACTATAAGCCATATTTATTGGCAGATACTAATCCAAATAATTTCGAACATCTTTTGAATGAATTTCACAAAGAACCTATAATTTAATAATAGAATCTAAAATTGATTGGAGATTTATATGGCAGTTTGGATGATCATTATGATTAGATAACTACTAATTTTAAGAATATTATAACATAAGAAGGTCAGGCAATCATGTAAAAAAAGAATCATTAGATTGTGGAAACTAATTAAGATTAAATATTTTCAGATCCATCTTTTATTGGATAGTTTTATAGCCTCTATTAGAAATATTCGTTTTTGATAGAAAGTTGTTTTTCTCAGAAATCAGATTTCATCATGGCTTTAAATAATGCATTTGAATCATTTATCAATCTCCCCATAGGAGTAAGTAAATTTATTATATTCTAAGAATCATGAGTTTGCTGATTATCTTGTGACCTTCATAGGTGAATAGATAGAACTGTTAAGGAATTCACCAAAGAATGCTACAAAATCACCTGAATAGATAGTAAAGTTGTTTGTATTTATAAATCAAAAGGCCAGATTTTTAAAAGTATTACAAATTGTCTATAATTTTAGTTATATAAAATATCATTGGCTTAGAGATTAATAAAATATTAAAGACAAGTGGAGGCTAAGAAAAGTAAATTAGCCTGTACGATTGAGATGAATATAGTTGAAGAGATGGAGAAGAAATGTGGTGCTCAGGATTTGGAATCACTCAAAATAATGATCAAGGATTTCTAGAAGACTGAAAATGAAGTAACTAAAATCCAAGAGGAAAAAGGATTATACAAACTATAAATACAACCACCTATCATTATTAATAAATAGCATTGGCCAGAAATAGATGAAATTTAATTAAATTTACAATCAGAAATAATCACTTAGCAAAAGGAGATTATAGCCAAGCGATAATAACAAAAGACTTTGATATGGTTAGATCTGATCTCTTATGTTGAAATACAATCTACTGAAAAAGCATTGACATTTAATTTAAGTGTCCCATAAGCAGTCATCTTATTGCTCTATCAATATAGAAATGATATTCTAGATGTGAATCGTATAGCATCATTAACTGGGTTGAAGGAACAATATGTTATTCAGAATTGTAAAATGATGAAGGATGCCAAAATATTGGATGAACAAATTGTCAATGACTAAATATGCTATCAATTTAATGAAAATTTAACCAAATAAAAAAAAGGAAAATGCAAAAAAATTGTTACTGAAACCTACTTCCCTTAGAATTAAGTTGAATAAGGTACTATATTCATTTGCAAATTTAAGTTGTGTCTGTTTATGACAAGGATCTGGCAATTGAAGCGGCTATTGTGAAGATAATGAAGAAACAAAAAGAGATGCAATTCAGTGATTTGGTAATATAAGTGTAAGGACACATGAAGAAAAATTAAAATGTTGAAATACCTTTTGCTTAAATTAAATAAATGATAGAAAGATTGCAACGAAACGAATACTTAGAAAGAGATGCAATTAATATGTAATTGATAAAATATAAATGACTTAATTAATAGAACATATCATTAAATATATACAAATCACATTTAAGCATAATTAATTCATTTCTTTTTTCTGAATTATCTATCTCTCCTTTATTAGTTTTCTAGATATTCCTAATCAAATTAACCAATCAAAATACCTTATGTTTCATAGTTAACTCAAAATCATTAAGTTACCAAGACACCAAATCCAATCTATATTGTGAATCAGAAGCTAGTGGATACTACTCCGGATAAACCTCAAAAGGAAAGTCTGTCATAATATTAAAAGTGTTTCTCTCGTCAACATTGAAATTTTTACCTTCAGATTACCACCTTTTATAATAAACATTATAATTACAATCCATCAATTTTACTCAAAGCAGGATATTTCTAAGCAGACCCTTGCAATCCCTAATACTTTTTGTACCCTAACTTTTTCCATCTCTAGACTTCCTTCTCATCAATTTTAAAGATGGAACCTTGAAAATAATCCAATGGCATCTTTTTCCCAAACAATCCACAAGGAGGATTAAAGTACAACTCACCCAAATATTCATTTACGTAATCAATACAATAAATGGGACCTTCCAAATAAAATATTCTATCTCCAATTGTTATACCACCCAAATAACCTTTGCAATTATTGAATTCAATCTTAGTGCCATTTTCAAATTCCAAATTTACCTTACCAAAATTTTAACCCGTAATTGAATTCAAACCTAAGTTGGCTTAAGTTTCAAAATGCCCATTAATATTGTATCCTTGTCCATACATCATAAATGCAGCAATCGGTGGGTGATGACTAACTTGTTCTAAATAGAGAGGGCACCCTTTAATCCAACATTAAAAGGTCTCGCCGAGAATTGGGTTGAAAGGCTTTTCTAAGGATAGATACAATATATTCATTGATACTATGAAGGCTAATACAGCTTTCATTTAATCAAGTGGAGTACTATTAACTACAGGTTCTAAGAAATGAGGAGCATAAGAAAAAGAGCTAGCAAATCTTTGTAAGTTAGTTCTTCTCTCAAAAATATGAACAGGAAGAGAAATATGAAGTATGCTTGTCCTTAGTAGACTTTGTCCAATTTTTTATAAGATATAATACAAGACCTTCTTTTATTAAGCTAGCTTTTCATCATTTACAAATTTCAAATAGCCTTTCTAAGCATCGTATACCCAATCTGATTAATAGAAAAAGTGCTTCCCATCCTTATCTTTTTCATATCTTTCTAATTAAATGTTGTGTTGTGGCTTGGTTTAATAATAATGAATTTATGAGAGATGATGCACTTATTGTTCAATATCTAAAAGTCTATCGCATAAAAATTAATGTAATGACTCTTTTGTATATTTGGAGATTAGATAAAATTATTATATATTGTCATTTTTTAGGTTTGATGTTATTCGTTATTATTCTGATCGAATATCCTCCTAAAGAAAGGAGTCTCTATTTTAATTGTCACCATCCAAAGAAAAGTTATCATTTAATTGGCTCATTTAGGATGATAAATTTGGAGATATAGTTTAATCTTAATAAGCAGTTCTAACCCCTTAGGATTTAAATGTTCTTTTTATTTATTTATTTTTAAGTTATTCGTATCTATTAATTAAGCTCATGGCCTCACTTACAAATATTGGTAAATTAACATTGCCTATCGATTACCTTCTATTTTCTTCCTTTAAGAACTATTTGTAATTTTGAAATTGTTGAATGTAATTCAAAATTAATTGTTAATCCTAATGTTAAGTAATATAACCCTTGTTATAGACAAATGTGTCAACTATCATAATTTTACTTTGAAGATCTTGCATAAAAATTCCGATTATATTCCATTCGATAGATCCATCATTTTCATGGCTTTCGTATGATTTTTCTATAATGAAAAAGGAATCTTTGACTGGGTAGATATACCTCAAGAATTTGAAAGCTCTGGGTTAGTGAATGAAACTTAAGGGTTCTCTGATTTCCTCTATTTATGCTAGGAATGGAGTTGCTTAGAGTATGATGGATTGATTCTTGACTTGTTTGTTCCATTTCATCAAGGAATAGGGATCATAAAGCGAGGTTATTAGTATTTCAAGGGAAGTTTTAGGTAGGGAGACATAAACTCTAAAATTGTTTTTGTTTAATTTTGATTGCATGATTCTGGCACAATGTTCAAACGAAATCAGAGTAAAGTCATGATCATCCATTAGGAATTCAAGATTCAACTTTTCTTTAAGACTCTCAAAAATAACGGGTAAATTTTCTTGAATAATTTGTTCTTCTATAATTATTGCTTCATGTTCTATATATTGTTATTATGATTTGGACTAAGTGATTTATTTGGTTATCTTTGTGTCATCAGCTTACTTTTTCTTAATGGTTGCTGTGCGATATCTGTCTCTGAGATCGAAATTCTTGGTTTCACCTTCTTACTCATTTTTTAAGATAATTGTTTTGGATCGTTCCACATTTTCTTATTTGCAGCAAGTTTAGAAATATTCAATCCACTTAGTGATTTCTTCCTTATCTTCACTCCCTATGATGATGTCTTTGATCTAAGCATTGGGATCTCGACATAATAATTCATATTGATATCTGCCTCTTAAATAGCCTCGGTAATTAATTAGAAATTCCGTCAAATCTATTATGTAGGGTTTTTCCTTTGGATTTTATCGATGAATCATCAATTCTCTTATGTCTAGATCAATTTCAATCTTTTTCCTTGACCATAAAATGGTACTTTTACCCAAAATATCAATTTCACCAACCACTTTCTTTTGTTTGAAGAATAGATTGAATAGACTAATAAGCAATTCAATTTTGGATTCCTTGTTAAGTTTGAATAATTAATTTAATTCATCAAATGTTAGTTGATCGTAGTCCAATGAATTTAGTTCCAGAGTTGGATCAAGAAGCGAATTCTAAAGTAGTTCCATCTTTTAAAGAAATTTAATTGGTATAGCTCTCTGAGTTGATGGCTCTGCTCATTAAAGTAAAATGATACTTTGTGAAACTCTAGTAATACGATTGAACATTGGTTGTAATTTCTCCATTTCATCGGAATTCATTAATTACAAATAAAATATTATTTTATAAAAACAAATCATTTTATTACACACTATTCAATCTTATAAACTGGTTCAGATATCTATAAAGGCCATTCATTATTATATTTTTTGATGAATTGTGTTTAAATAAACAACAACTAAGAATGGAAGGAGCACGTCATGAGCTGTCAAAAACCAGTTGTTGTTAGTTTTTTTGCCGAATGGTAACGATCTTGAAATTAATCCATAATAGGTGTGCCCCATGTCATAAGTTGAATCCTCAGCTCATTCAAGAAGCTTAGAAGAATTGTGAAAAATGGTAGCTTGCCCTCGTTAATGTTGACAATGAAGAGCTTTACGATGTTGTACAATAAATAGCGGTATAGTTTAATATTGATTCAATTTAGAAGGCCTAAATTCCATCTGTTCATCTTCTTAATAGGGGAACTTCTATTGATTCCATGACTGGATATAGCGAAAGAAAAACCAAATCCTTTATAAATAGGGTTTGTAGTTGATTTTAATTACTCCTTTAAACATGTCTTTTATAAAATAAATTATCAAATAGAAGGACGTATTTGTCCATTTAACTTTGAGAACAATGCCTTTCTCTAGGTAACGTGAAACTGATTTTAAAGTTCCAAATTTTGAGCCTGCCTTAATTGTCTTCTGACTTCACCTCTTATTTCGTCCAGCACTCTCTCACCATCAGATTCCCACAATGCTTCCTTAATTATGAAGCCATCTTCTAAGGAAGGATGAAACAGATGTTTGAACATATAATACTCACGATTAATGTTACTGATTTGAATTATATTGTCAAACAGTTTTTCATACTTCTCTCTTTCCTCAGGTTCTTCCATTTTATGAGGAGCATAAATAGGAGGACTGATAGGATGTTTATATGGGATTCTAGAAAACTATTTCAATATGAAATGTTTCTCACATATTCAGGATAATCTGCCTAGAAATCAAAAGGATGATAACTTAAAATGGTCTTTCCAATTATTATTAATACAACACCTTTCATTAATCCCCTTGTAATTGAAATTCCAATCTCAGGTTTTAGAATTTAGAAATATTGCATAAATTAAATAATCTTAAATAATTTAATGTCATTCTTTCAAAGTCTTCTAAGTCTACATTAATAATGAAATGCATCTTAAACATTTATATGTTCAACAACCAAATACTAGTTATATATCTAATTATTCTAAAATTCTTTATTTTGGTAACACAATTAATTTATTTTCTTTCTCCATTAAGCTGGAATAATTTCAACTCCATTCAATTTAATATTGTGTATTAATCCAAAAGTGCTAATTTCCTTTGAAGGAATCTGTTAACAATAACAAAAAATGAAATTATACAACTTTTTCATTATTAATTTTCAAATTTCTACAAAACTCTTAATTGAATAATTTGTGTTACTATTTATTGTTTTTTGGTCCTCAGTCTATGCCAATTACTTAATTTTCTCTCTATTGTTATTTAATTTACTTCCAAACAGTTTATCAAATATGAAATTTAACACGGTGTTTAGATAGCTTGACTAAGATTCGAATACGACTTGAAACTTATGACTTATTATATTTTATGATTTTAGTAGAGACATTAAATATAAAGCTCTTATTTATAGAAATGAGTTCTTCTAATGTTTTTAAAGAATCAATTATTGTTTCTTAATTAATTCCATTATGAATCCCTTCACACTTAGATTTCATGACCCAAAACTCGAACGTAAATATCAAGAAAGTTATTCCAACGAACTCTATGATGCCTTTAAATACACGATGCTTTTACTCTCTTTATCAAATATAATGCTTAGCATATTTTGGATTTAAAGGTAACAATTTACTCTTGGATGCATGATGATCATCATCTGCTTGGGGTAAACAATTACATTCTACTACATACTAATTAAAAAACGATTCATCACACTCGTAGGCTACCTAATATCCATCCTAAGCTTACTATCATCGTTTTATCAATTTATGCCATACTTTTATACTGAATTCTAATAAATTGAATTCACTTGGATTTTTGATATCTCCTAATTCATGGCACTGAATTTTGCTTTATGCCCAAATTTTATATTAAATCAGTTTCTTTAATTTCTATTTGTTTCATCTCGATTATTCATGAGGAACTTTGCTTATTTGAATCCGTTTTCCTTTATCCTCATATTGTATTTGATACTATTTTGGTAAAAAGAGTATTTCAGATAAAAGCATAATAGAAATTAATTTTTTTTAAAAGAACAGTAAAAATAAGCATTGTTTTTATGGGATAATTTAATAGAAGAAAAGATAGTGCTATTATCTTATGATGAGACTTGGAATAAGATTGATTTAATATTTGCAAATTCATCAATTAAATAATTGATGAATTTGGATTCTAAAGAATTTTTAAAAGATTTTAGAATTTCCAATCTTAAAAAAGATTTTTATCAATATTTATTAGAGAGGATTCATGATAAGACCTATCAATTTCAGGTTAAGGTGGTACACATTTCAAAAAAGAAATATGTAATAAATTGCTTTATGAATAAATTAATTGAATTGAATATCTCATTAAAATTTTCAGAACTCTAATCAGAGAAAGATTATTAAAATAATTATTCTTATCTCAAGTTGCTAAAAAAGATTAAAATGATAGACAAATAACTCTACTATAATGAAATCCAAAAGCATATTATATAATAGTCATACTACTTTAAAAATGTAACGATAGATTAAGTTGAGTAACTAACTCTTTTAAAGTTGAGGGGTTTTATTAATTTTATTATGAAGAACAATCCGGCTAAAGTGTTATTCCATCTGCAGCAGTTTAATACAATTTTGCCCCTCCTCTTCACTCTGATTAGTTGTCTAAAGAAATTATATAAAATAAAAGAAATTCATTTTATAGAACTGAACTAAAATGAAGTCAACTTTATCATAATTGGAAGAGAGAAAAAAAAACTTCCTTAAACGAGAGTAGAAATTTGCAAAAAAATAATCAATCGTATCGTGGATTAGGTTGGGTTGTATGAATGTGTTTTTTATATAACTTAATTTAATTGTACTTTAGTAAATATGTAATTTAAAATCGAATCAACTCCTTAGTAAGATTATTAAATAAATTTTATTATAGCTCACTTGAATGATTTTAACCAGAATCAGATCTTGATAAATTAATGTATTTTATCCAATTAATTTTCACAATCCCTTAGCCCATCTAATACTATTTTTATTATATAGTCCTTGGGCTCATGAGATTTAAAAGCTAAAACAAATATTTTAATTTAATTACTGGATTATGTTTTTTTAAAAATATTGCTAGCACTTATTTGCAAATTCTTAAATGATAAATAGCTTTTTCTTTATTCATTTTTCAAATATATGAGAGAAGCCATATTAAAACACAGGCAAATATATTTATATTATTGATGTTAAAACTACGCTTCTTTAGATTTCTGATAAAATCAAGGTAAATGTGTGTTATGCTATTTCAAATCCTGCTCATCATGATTATTCAGCCTCTTGATATGGACTACTTGTAATGCATTTTCAGTCATATAACAGTTAAATGCCTATATATCGAAATTAATAAAAGAAAAACAAAGTTTAATTAACAATTTATAATAATTTTTATTAAATTAATTAATCGGAAATAATTATAATAATTTCTATATAACTTTAAGTATGTAAAATTTCAAATTGGATTCAAAAATTCTTATACTCAAGAAGTAATCTCAAACTTATATTAACCAATTTAGTTGCTATCATACATTCTATTATTTGTGTGTTTTATCAGATTCCTGTGTTTATCAAAAGTCTTACAAGATGACAATATAAAAAAACGAATTTCTTAAATCTCAAGAAATTCAATATGGATCGAAAGAAACAACAATTCTTCATGGTCAATTGGATATTTAGAATAGGAAACCATTTTAAATTTTTTATATCAATATCTACATATATGTACATCATAAGAAGTTCACAGATTTGTCAATTACTTGGTTAAGTTCTTGACCCTTTTGATAATTGTGATTCCACTATTGGATAAGGTTTTCAACGTGGATGTTGCAATTATCAAAAATAGAATTACTATGATTCTATTGAATAATCTAAGATATATGATCAGATGTGTAGGCCAGTAGTACGTCCTTGAATGTTACACCTTTGACCTCATTGGTTGTGAGATCGATTGTGACAAGTCCATTCTTGTTGTACCATTTTGGATAATCTACAATTTTTTATAATAATTACGTTTCATCTCTTCAGCTATTTGAGAAACCTATGCCATAAAACTGAAAGAATCTTAAAAATTCTGAAACTAGTATTTACGACCTAAACTACTGACATTCTAACTATAAATATAAGATTTACAAAAGTCCAATTCGAGTTCAACTCATGAATGCTAAGAATTTGGTTAACTTCATCAGCACTCAATTTTGTGAACTTCTTAGTGGGTACATCCGAAAAATCCTTCAACAAATACTTCAAACCAAGCAGGTTAGCTGTAGTTCTTGTATTGTTAGAAGTGAGATTCCTATACATAGATATTAATAATGCTAAAACGATTTTCTTTAATTGGATTTAAACTAACTAAAAGTATGCAATTAATTGAATAATTTGTCATCATATTNAATATTGCTAGCACTTATTTGCAAATTCTTAAATGATAAATAGCTTTTTCTTTATTCATTTTTCAAATATATGAGAGAAGCCATATTAAAACACAGGCAAATATATTTATATTATTGATGTTAAAACTACGCTTCTTTAGATTTCTGATAAAATCAAGGTAAATGTGTGTTATGCTATTTCAAATCCTGCTCATCATGATTATTCAGCCTCTTGATATGGACTACTTGTAATGCATTTTCAGTCATATAACAGTTAAATGCCTATATATCGAAATTAATAAAAGAAAAACAAAGTTTAATTAACAATTTATAATAATTTTTATTAAATTAATTAATCGGAAATAATTATAATAATTTCTATATAACTTTAAGTATGTAAAATTTCAAATTGGATTCAAAAATTCTTATACTCAAGAAGTAATCTCAAACTTATATTAACCAATTTAGTTGCTATCATACATTCTATTATTTGTGTGTTTTATCAGATTCCTGTGTTTATCAAAAGTCTTACAAGATGACAATATAAAAAAACGAATTTCTTAAATCTCAAGAAATTCAATATGGATCGAAAGAAACAACAATTCTTCATGGTCAATTGGATATTTAGAATAGGAAACCATTTTAAATTTTTTATATCAATATCTACATATATGTACATCATAAGAAGTTCACAGATTTGTCAATTACTTGGTTAAGTTCTTGACCCTTTTGATAATTGTGATTCCACTATTGGATAAGGTTTTCAACGTGGATGTTGCAATTATCAAAAATAGAATTACTATGATTCTATTGAATAATCTAAGATATATGATCAGATGTGTAGGCCAGTAGTACGTCCTTGAATGTTACACCTTTGACCTCATTGGTTGTGAGATCGATTGTGACAAGTCCATTCTTGTTGTACCATTTTGGATAATCTACAATTTTTTATAATAATTACGTTTCATCTCTTCAGCTATTTGAGAAACCTATGCCATAAAACTGAAAGAATCTTAAAAATTCTGAAACTAGTATTTACGACCTAAACTACTGACATTCTAACTATAAATATAAGATTTACAAAAGTCCAATTCGAGTTCAACTCATGAATGCTAAGAATTTGGTTAACTTCATCAGCACTCAATTTTGTGAACTTCTTAGTGGGTACATCCGAAAAATCCTTCAACAAATACTTCAAACCAAGCAGGTTAGCTGTAGTTCTTGTATTGTTAGAAGTGAGATTCCTATACATAGATATTAATAATGCTAAAACGATTTTCTTTAATTGGATTTAAACTAACTAAAAGTATGCAATTAATTGAATAATTTGTCATCATATTATACCTTAAGTTAATAAAATAAAATATTTTCATTTTATTCGATCTTCCAACCAATTTGATACATTGAACATTTCTGAATTTTTTTAAATAAAAAAAATTATTAATATCAAATTATCCTTGTAGACCAACCAATTAATCCTCCTGTGCTTTTTGCCATTTATTTGGAGAAAGATAAATAATTTCCATTTAATTCAAAAAAGATAATACAAATTTGGAATTCTTGTAATAATAAAATAATAATTATTATAAATTTAATTATTATTATATATTTTATAAATATCGAAATCATCCTAATTAGAGATTTAGCCTACAAGTTTCAATGACTGCATTTTATACTTTTCCTTGGACTATATGACATAACTTTTCATATTCAGCCCTTAATTTAATGTTATTCCCTTCTTGATTACTCATAAGTCGTTCTAATTCTAATATTCTCTAATGTTATAACTATAAGTTGGTTTTGTGAAGAGCATATTGTCTTTCTTACAATATTCTTCTTTATTAAATGTCATCCATTCCTCTATCTAAAATAGTGCATCAATTACCTTTTTAAATGTTTAAGATGAAGAATGTTTCATCTATTTTCCTAATTAGATTATCAATATGATGATCTAAAACAATATTATTGTTTATTAGTTTTTCTTGTTTAATGCTTCTTTTACTGATTTGCAGATGTGTTTGATGAACCTTCTCCCTTTCTTACTAAATTTATTCCTCAATTAATTATCTATCTCGGGTCAAATTTGTTTCTAATCTCTACATATCATCCTAGATAGATTGGCTTTCATTTTCAGCTCTCTTTTTTATTGATTAAGAAATACTTTCAAAGTCTATTAGGATTCCATCTCCCTTTTTTTTAGTAATTCAATTTAATGATTATACTTGGCTTTTTCTTCAATTAGAAGCCTACCTTCAACAGCTTTGACATTCTCATCATGATCTAATCTCATTTTTAAGAAGAACTCTTTCATCCTTAACAATTATTAGTTGTATTGATCATTAGCTTTCATTAATGAATTGAATTTGCTCTGAATGCCATCCAATCTAGGTTACCAATTTGCATTAATCTAATCAATTTATAACTAAATAAGTTTAATTTAATATATAAACCTTATTGTCATGTCTGATTTGGGATAACTCATGCATATATTCATTTTCCAATGCTAATACATGCTTATTTTTGGCAACATATTCATTCATCACTTCTTATTATCTGTAATCACTTGCCTTGCCTAATTCATCAAATTATCGTTTAACTTAAGTATATTCCGCCTCAATGATAGATTTCCTTGTAACTTCTTCTTCAAAGTGTCTTTTAGCCATACTTACAGCTTGTTCTTTAGATAGTATCTCTTATCTTAAGGCATTCATCCTATTGGTGAGTTCTTCATTCATTAATCTGTTTTATCGTAATTCTTAATCAATTTATTCTTTCAATTAAGCAACCCTAATAGCATCATTTTTTTTGACTGCTCTTTCAGGTGGGTTTGTTGTGGCTGCAGTTTTTGGTATAGTTTTAACCGGCTAAAATGCATTTCTCTATGATTCTTTGATTCCTGTTGAGTTTTTGGCCATCAAATCAGTTGATCTATTCTACTCAATCCTTTCCCTGATTTATGTTGCTAATCCTTCGGGTATCTTATTGCAAGAGACGTCTAAAAATTTTAAATTTCTATTGCCATTTAGTCCTTCTAACAAATATTGAGCTCCTCTTTCTCCAATTTCATTCCATTTTAAATTCAATGATTATAATGATGTATTCTGCTTTAACATTTAACATATTCTAGCACAATGATCAGCTTGGATTCTATTGTTTTTAAGGTCAACTAATTGCAATTTATATGAGGGATTCATTAATAAATCGCACAATGCACTAACACCTCCACCTATGGCATTCCATTCAGCAATCAATGTTCTTGCATCCGGACTTATTGAACGACAAATGCGTTCAAATCCTCTTCCATTTATATTACATCCTCTTAGTTCAATGTTTATAAATTGAGTATTTTGAGCTAAAAATTAGGCTACAACCACACAGCCTTCTTCATTTAGTATTTAATCAGATAATATTAGATTTGGAGCCTTCTGTGCTTCTAAAGCTTTCTAGAGCTTCATGGATTCAAATTTAAAATTAGTAGTTAATAAATGAATAATCGAGTATAAATAATATAATTACTTATATTAGAATTCAATATCGTAAATTATTATATAATTTTGTTAAATCATACTATTTGTAATTATAATTTTTATAATAATATGTAAAGTATCTTACATGAAAAACCCAATATCGATGTGTGATAATTAAAATATATGTAATATATATATCATAGTTGGGCAGCATTCCTTTGAAGATTCTATAGAATCTCTTCGGTTTTCGAGAAGTTTTAGTTCCAAGCATTTAGTATTTGAGAATCCACAACCTTTGGACTGTCACAAACAGATGTAATTTAAGTATTTTTGATTTCCATAGCCAATTAATCCATTGTAAAAGCTAAGAGAATGTCCTTTACTGAAATGCCAGAACAATCGTTTGTAGTAATTTCCACATTGACAACATTTTCTTTTTAGGTCCATTTTGGATAATCTAATAAATATTTAGATTAAATATAATACGATGCATTTCTTCAGCAACTGCTGAAATGGATCCCATAAATGCAAATGTCTTTTTAAATGAATTAAACTTAAATTCTTTCTTTATTCTTGTTGTGTCCTTCGTTGGATGCCATTATAGTGAGTGAATTTCAAGTGCTGATGCGATTTCTTCTGAATTCAATTTAGTTGCTTAAATTGATGAAACATCTTTGAAATCTCTGACAAATATTTTTAGGGAATTGATTATAGCTGGAGTTTTGAATCCTTATTCTGATATATAGCGATACATTTTGTTATTTTTTTTAAATTACGACCCTAATTCTAGAATCGCAAAGAACATATCAAATGTTTATTAATACGAATCATATTAATTTAAACGCAATAATATGATAAGTTTTTATTTTTTTATATTAATCAAGGAATGCTTCAATTGCCCATTGGATTAGGTATCTTGTTTGGGTCGTAATTCATTGGATACTGTTAATTTGGCATAGTTTAGCCAGGATAAAATGCAGGTGGTTATTATTAACCTGGAGGTGGAGGAGGCACTTAATTTGGCTGAGGAGGAGGTTATTAGCCAGGAGGAACATTAGGATAAGGCTGATTGAGAGGAGGTAAGCTTGGATATTATTGCCCTAGTGGTAAGGTCTAAGCTTATTAATTTAATGGCATTTGATTATTTGGATAGCCACCCTATGCTTAATTATTAGGGTAGTTTTAAGGTTAGCCTCCTTGATAATTAGGAGGTTATTAATTGTTAGGATTTGGTGCTTAATTTTGATTTGGATATCCTTAAGGATTATTTTACATAGTTTAGGCATAATTTGGATATCCTTATTATTAATTTTATGGTGGGTATGGTGGTTAATTTTGTGGTTGATTTGGTGGATAGTTTTGTGGTTAATTTGGAGGATAATTAGGTGGTTAATTGGGTGGATAGTTTGGTGGTTGATTTGGTGGATAATTAGGTGGTTAATTGGGAGGATAGTTAGGTGGTTGATTTGGTGGATAGTTTGGTGGTTGATTTGGTGGGTAATTAGGTGGTTAGTTTGGAGGATAACCAGGGGGTTAATTTGGTGGATAATTTGGAGGTTGTTAGGGTGGGTATCCTTGTTGTGGATTTGGCTAATATGGGTTAGGAGGGTAATTAGGCGTATAGCCTTACTGGGGATACTTTTATTATTGATTCTATGGATATCCTCCTTAGAAGCCTGGTTAAGAATAGGGTGGTGGTTAGGGATATTAAACTTATTATTATGGATAATTGGGAGGTTACTAATAGGGCATTTATTAATTGTATGGTTATTGATAATAAGGAGCTCCTGGAGGTTGCATTGGGATCACATTATTTTATTGATAATATTGTGGATTTGAAGGGATTTAGGCTTACGGTTAATATTTTGAATCAGCAAACCATTCAAACGCAATGTATAGCTATCCAGCTGATTTTCCCTGAGTTTTTAAATATTATTTAAATTACTTTGTAACTTAAGTTGATCCATTCAGCTGGTTTAGGAATATCTACCAAATATGGTTATAGGGCTATGGAACATTCTCCAACTAAATCATCTTCAGTTACTTCATCAGCATCCCAAATTTGGATATCAGCTATGTATTCATTTGTACGTCTAAAGCTTAATGATTGATTCCATGAAGGATGCTTTCCTTTTATATGAATATTTCTGGTACCTGCATCTGTATGTTCTCTTGTCCTTTGTCTTTAATTACCAAGAGTGACCCTGCAATAAGGATCCATTTTGCCTAGGAATTCAGTGTCGTGAGTTAGTTTTGCTTTGAGAGGTTTGACAATTAAGGTGCCAGAACCGACTAATGACATTTTAATATTTTTAAATTTGTGAATGTCTAAGAAATCTAATTTGGGTAAGGCTCTACAGAGACAACAATAAAGGAAAATGAATGAAGGAGCAGCAAAAGTTCAGAATCAAGGATAGTTCTTTCATGATGGGAAGGTAGTGAAGGAAGAGTATCAAATTTAATAAGAGAACTTGTAATCAATAATTGATTAGAATCCATTGAATGAATATTTGTAGATGGCAGAGATGGCAAATATTAAATATTAGGCAGAGAAGAAATCAGATGTGGTGGTAAATGAATAGCAGAAATAAGTAAGACAAAAGTGTATAATTTTTAGTTAGTGATAAATGTAAATGCAATAAGAAAGGGACAATTACCGAATTCATCAGTGTACGATTATTAGAAGAACCAATTGTTGGTTGACTTACAAATACCAAGGAGACCTAGATGGGATGAAAAGACTACAGTTGAGTAATTGAGGTTGATGGAGAATGAGAATTTTTTAAAGTGGAGAAAGGAATTGGCAAAGTTCGAAGAGGAACATTACTAGATCTAATTGACTCCTTATGAGAAGAATATTGAAGTTTGGAAGTAATTGTGGAGAGTGGTAGAGAAAGCAGATATTTTGGTTTAAGTGGTAGATGGAAGAGACATCCTATTCTATCATTGCAATGACTTGACTAAATACGTGCATGAGGAATAAAATAGAGTTTACAGAAAGAATCAAACAAAGATCAATTTTCTATTGATAAACAAAAGCGATTTGATTTCTGATAAAATTAGAGAGGAGTGGTCAGCCTTTTTGAATTCAAAGAATTTGAATCACATGTTCTTTAGTGCCAAATTGGAATAAGAGAAAATTGATAAGGAAGAATAAGTGTAAGATGCAACCAATATTCTAATTTAATAAGAAGAACCTAAAATTGAAGAAAACTTAGAAGCATTTATAAATACATCACGAATAGCAGACAGAAGGATATTGTTATCAGAGTTGAAATCATTGGTGTAAAAGATTAGGAAGTAAAGATAAGAGAATGTGGAGACAACCAAAGTGATTGAATAGGATGATCATGATATATAACATGATGAGAATACAGTCATTATTGGTATGGTGGGATATCCTAATGTTGGTAAGAGTTCAGTCATCAATGCTCTTTGTAATAAGAAATTAGTTGGAGTTGCAGCAAGACCTGGAAAAACAAAGCATTTCTAGACAATTCCATTGGAAAAATATCTATTAGTATTAATCTTTATTCTAATTTAAGTTATGTGATTGTCCAGGTTTGATATTCCCCAATGCTTCGTCATCTAGAGCTGAAATGGTATGCAATGGTGTGTTACCAATTGACAACATCAAAGATTATTTAAGTCCAATGGATTTGTTGGCTGAAAGAATTCCTAAAATTGTTTTTGAGAAATTGTACGGAATCAATCTTCAAGAATTCAAACTTATCGATGCTTCTACTGTGCTATCTACTTATAGTAAGAAAAGAGGATTCATGACAGGCAGAGGATTGCCTGATGAAGCCAAAGCAGCCAAATTAATGTTAAAAGATTTTATTAATGGTAAATTACTATTTGTGAAATTGCCTCCAAGTTATTAGGGTGAGGCATTATGGTAATCTAATCCCTTAGAGGATTTAGAAAATCTAATTCATTAACAATAATAACAACAACATCAGTTAAATGATGATGCCAATATTGATAATCAATTTGAAAACCAGTTGATTCAAGAAAAGAAAATCTCGAATGAAGAGATACTAGAGATATTCACTCAAGAGAACTTAGCTCAATTAATGGAAGGGAAGAAGGTTCATGGCATCAAATTAACAAAGGAACAAAGGAGAGAGATAAAGCACAATTTCTAAAGAGGTACTATATATTTGTAACAGCATTTTAGGTGATCCTATTGACATAAAAAAATATCTAAATTTACAATAAAATTAGAAGGAAACTTTATATAAAACATACATTCAAGGCAAAAGAGGATAAATATGAGAAATATTGTGATTAGTAAAAACTCAATATTAATATATTCAACAACACTTTTCCTTGTCCTTTTTGCTATCTTCTGCTTGTTGGCTAATTTTCTAACCTGGAGTTTGTTGACTTCTCTAAGGGCTTTTTAAATGAATTAATAATATTATTACCCCTAACCTTTCTGTCCTTGAGAATCCTTTTTGGCAATCAGTTTCTTTGCAAGTTAAATGAAAGCCTTGGATACCTAATCGGCAGTCTTGGCACTTGCTTCCATATGCGCCATCCTTCGTGTGGCTGCATAATCTAGAGCCTTTTGTGTGGTGACACTGACATAGTAATAGCATAATCTTACGCTTTATCTTCGATATCGCTCTTGTTTCCCAACAACAGTAACTCTACATTCTTCTCCGCATATGAATCTACCTCATTAATCCAAAATCTATCAATATCTTCAAATGATGCAAGTGAGGACACATCATACACCATCACAATCCCATCAGCACCCTTCCATCAAATTCATCATATACCTTATAATATGCACTGGTTATTGTTCGGAACCTTTCCTGTCCTGCTGTGTCCCAGATTTACAACTTTACTTTCTTGCCATCAATTTCTAAAGTCTTAAATCTGAAGTCCACTCCAATTGTAGTTAAATAGGAATCACTAAAAGTGTCATCTGAAAATCGCAATAGCAAGGACGACTTCCCCACTCCTGAGTTGCCCACAATCACCAACTTAAACAAATAGTCATACTCCTTAATCATTAGATATAATAAATATTTAAATAATTACATCACAGAAGTCATCAGTATATATATTTCATTCCACATTAATTGATACAATTTTAAACTATATTCAACACTTAATCGATTAATAATAACAATATTCCTCATTTGTTCGGACCCTAAAATTCCATGCATCTTCTGAAAGTTCTATAAATGATTAACAAAGATAATCCATTCTTATTATTACATACATCCAATTAAAACTACTTTGGGTTTGGATTCCTGATGTTCAAATATATCTTGTTCGACTCAGTATTCCATAAACATCTTAGATCTCAGAAGTTTATGTTGCTTATAATCTGAAATTCTATGATTATATTTATACACCCCACATACTTATACTCATACTTATGAATTTTGTAATAGACATTGATTTGAAATATGATAATTCATATTTAAAAATATCAAATGTAATTTATTCTCTTTTTTGTCTGTATTGTTACATTAGTCGATTGTGAAATGAAGGTTCTAAGACCCCCTGAATTGGTGGATCGTTTAGGGTCTAAAGTATAAAATGCATTACCTAATTTTGGGTTTGAGCTCATTTATATCATATATTAGCGTAATTCCATTTGGACATCGACTAATGGGATATGTTGATATGGCTGAACCTAATGATGGATGCAGTGCTCTCCAATCGGCTTATAGCAGCCAATTTATTATGATGGGGAGAGGAAATTGTTCATTAGTCACTAAAGTCTTAAATGCCGAGAAAGCTGGGTACTCATTAGCCATAATTGGCAATAATAATGAAAGTCCATTGGAATCTGATTTGGTTATGGAAGATGATGGTCAGGGATACTTAGTATAACTTTGATTCTATAAAATAGGTGAATATTCCATCAATAATAATTTCATAAAGGGATTTTTTTATTATGAAGGATTACGTTAAAAGACTTGGAGTGCTTGAAGTTTCTGATGAGAAGGTCTTTACCTTAGTGAAATTCGATGTCTAAAAAACATCACGAGTACTTGTAACATTGAGTTTGGACGTAAGTGATAGGGATTCATACAGAGTAGTCGATGAGTTCTCTTAATATTACGATCTCTTAAAAAATGAGGAAGTTGGTTATAAGATTGGTTATAAAATCTTTGATGGCAATAGCTTTGGCAAAGATTTAGATTACTAAATTGATTCAGACAATTGCATATGTTCAAGAAGGTATTGTGCAATTGATCCAGATGGGGAAGGAGTAGCATCAGGAAGAAACATAGTTGAGGAAGTTCTTAGATAAAGCTGTATCTTTGAGAATGATGGAAAAGAATACTTTCTATACATGGTAACTTTTCTATTCTAATTTTAGAATGCATTTAATTTTAAATGCACCAAAGCTCAGGCCTATAATATATGTGGAAATAAGATAATAAACACTCTAAAATTGTCTGCAGATAAAATTAATAATTGCATAGAGACGTCCTTTTTGGATATTTCTAATCATCATGTTACAAAGAATTATACGATTGCTTATAATTTTATTTTGGATTAATAGTTACATTCAGCTGATTTTGCTGGGATGGTTGGCGTACCATCAGTGGCTGTGAATTCAGTGGTTTACAAGGGATAATTGACAGGCAAGGGAATTTTTGGTGAAATTTGCAACAGTAATAGTTTACAATTCATTAAGAGGTTTTATTACTCCGCCTTCGGTTTGCAGATCTGAAGTGGAGAACTACTAACAATTCGAATCCGAGGGTTAACATTATCTATTTTGGGTGATGCTGTTTGTTTCTATTCTGATCGCAATTTTTATTATCGTGTTGTACTTGTTGTTCAAGAAGTTCGTGCTTAGAGATAGTGTCGAGGTTACTCAAGTTTAGGTTAATGAGATGGTCAGTCAGTACATTAAATTTAATGAGGGGAAAAGTTAGCAAAGGCAAAGTTCTTTCTGAGATATTGATGTAATTATATTTATTAAATGAAATGGAACACAGAGTTGAACATTAATTAAATAAATATATACATATATAATCATAATGATCTTCTAACTCCGTTACAATACTAAATTATCTGAATCTTTAAACAACAGCAAGGATTACTACTCAATGCAAAATACCAAGTGGGTTGCTCCGAGACCAAATTAACATCGACTTGAGCACTTGCAATTCACTCAAAGGAATAAACCTCGTGCCAAATAGTACCCCCAAGAAATGCTTTTATGTCTTGTTTCTAAGGGACTTGTTCCCATAGAGAAATAGAGGATAGCAAATCTTTAATCTCACGATACCTCATGCAATTACAAGGATGTCACTTCTGAAATCAAACAAGAAAACCATCCTTACTACGCTTCCAAACTGAATCCTTCAATGTCAGAAGTCGAACGATGTAACTAAATTAAATAACCTCATAGAAAATAAAAAAGTATTACCTCCACTTTAGTTTATAGCTGTCCGTCCTTAAATAAGGACTCAATCCAAAGATAAGGATCCCATCGAAACTTCCACCTCCAAAAGTTGTAAATTAGTAAGTCCAATGATCAATCGCAGCGATCAGAAGAAAAATGTGAAACGCTCAGAATCCAAAGATAACAATGACAAAATTGGCAGAACCTCCTCAACACCCTTCATTCACAAAACAATGCAAAATGAAAATTTGACCAGTCGATCAGGATCACCCAATCAAAGATCCAGTTCAAAAAAAACCAAAACTTAAAAGCTAAACATATAACCAAAATTGACTCAAATAAATGAGAGGAGGTATACTCAAAACCACCAAGAGCCACATGTCTAACCATAGACTAATTAAAAAATGGCCGAGTCCACCGAGAAGAAATTGCAAGTCAAGAGAAAGAAAAGACAACTATAAACCACGCAATAACAACAGATCTTATAACAACAAAATTCTTAAAAGGATAAACTTAATCAAAAACACACCTCATACCGTTGCTTTATTAACAAAATCAATTTCTCTAATAATCAATGCATCTAGTCTCCATTGAAGATGGATGTCCCTGCTTATTACTTTTATGTGGGCAAGGGCAACAATGGAAGTCTGTTAAAGAATCTCTTCAGATAAAGGTGGTGGTGGCAAGAAGTAGAATCCTTGGATGTGAGCAAAGTGAACATGGCTTGGACCTAATTGAAATAAAATGCTTGTATTGAGTGTTTGCCCACTTTTAATATGCCCACCAATGATACCAACTATAACAACGACTCCTTTATTCAAAGTATTGAAGACACTGTGGTTGAATCTAGTGATTCTGAATTGGACATTCATGTCAAACCTAGATCCGTGCCCGTCTTGAGCGTCAATCAGTAATTAAGACAGTCAATCCAATCCAAGAAAAGGTTGCAAATCTCCAATTTGAACTAATTAAAGAGGATCTTTAATCAAGTTGATTTACATAAAATTCTCAACTATATGGAAGAAAATAATTAGTGGGATTCCCAGATTGTATTTAGTGATTGCACTGAGAAACTGCTTATGACTATTAAAGGAGTAAAATATTTACATAATCGTTTAGTTACAGACCACCATCCAGCAGGAGAGTAAGAATTACAAGATGCACAATCATATGCAAGACAATTGGCATTTAGGCAATAAGAAGGCACTCTTTTACAATATGAGGAATTACTTCAAAATTATAAAGGAGGATTACACCAAGTACATTCCTATCACCTTTCACATTCAAAAGGGAATGACTGATACTGAGTACTTCAAATTTGTTGATTACTATAATAAAAGACAAGAGGAAATTAAAGAACTCGAACGTAAGTTATAATTAGAATATCGAAGAGATAAAAGATCGAAACCTATTAGTCTTTGGATTGTGAAGCCAGGTGAATGCACCAACAGAGGAAATGGCATTACTGTTTGTTAAGATTTATAAGAAATCAACAAAATCTTAAATGAGGAATAGCCTGATGGTCGTCAAAGAACCTACATTGTCTAATAGTACATCGAAAATCCATTCTTATACAACAAGAGGAAATTTGACATCAGATGCTACATGCTCCTGACCTCTTAGAATGGAATCTTCAAAGGGTACTGGTATTAGGAAGGTTATATTCGAACATCATCGAAAGAATTTACAACCAAGTGTTTGAATAAATACATTCACTTAACTAATGATGCTGTTCAATCAAAAGATGAGGATTACGGAAAGTTTGAGTTTGGCAATAAGATCTCCTTTCTCGAATATTAAAGATATCTTGATACTTATCATCCTTAGTCTAAATTCAACTTTTTTATTGACATTTACCCGAAGATGAAAAACGTTGCCTTGGATCTTATGAAAGCCTCCTATGGTAAAATAGACCCATAGAGAAGATCAAATAGTTTTGAAGTACACTATAGATTTTATGCTTAGCTATTTGGGTTAGATTTTATGATAGATGATAATTTTAAGCTTTGGCTCATTGAAGCAAACACAAATCCATGTCTGGAGTTGTCCTGTCCTCTTTTGAGCAGAATCATCCCTGCCATGGTTGAGAACTTATTTCGGTATTTCCCCTATAATTAAATCTGTTAGAATTGCAATCGATCCCATTTTCCCCCCTCCCTACTTTGAAGAGTGGCCTCAAAATAAGAAGTTATTCATTCCAGATAATGTACTTGAGAATAATCGATTTGAACTGATTTTTGACGAATTAATAGAGAAGAAGTCTATGATCAATCTGTACAGAGACAGTAAGGTAGAATAAGATTGTTTCAAAATTGAGGAAGAAGAAGAGGAAGAAGAGAAAGATTGACACTTTAATGTAATTATTATTTAAATATTAAATATAATACACCCTATAACATTTGTATGCACTCAGTAAATGTTTACTCATTACTACATCCACATTTATAATATGTATTTTATTTTATCAATTCTAATTTTAATAATTAAGTTGTTAAATAACTAAAATGCAGTTAAATAATTAAATGGATGCAATATTCTAGTAAGAGAAGGAATAAATTCTCGCAGAATTTGAATCGAAACTACGCCGACTACAGTTGCAAGTTCAAAACAAATAATATCAAGATGGAAGCGAGTATTTCGGAGAACTCAATAATGACCTCAGATGGGGTTAGGGAGTTTACTACTATTACACTGGAGACGTATATGCTGGACAATGGGCCAATGATTTATTTGATGGAGATGGAACCTACATATTTGCATCAGGCGAAAGATACCAAGGTCAATTGAAGGATGGCAAGAAGCATGGCTTTGGTACCTACTACTATCTGAATGGAAATAGTTATACAGGCAATTGGGCTAACGATAAGAAGCAAGGAAGAGGAGTTTATGTGTATGCATAGACTAACGAAAAATATGATGGCGAGTGGAATAATGGATTAAGATAAGGCTATGGTACATTTACATATCAGTGTGGAGTGTATGATGGAGAGTTCAATAACAATGTTAAAGAAGGCAAGGGGGTTTTAAAGTATAAAAGTGGAGCCATCTTGGATGGGGAGTGGAAGAAGGATAAAGTAGAAGGCGAAGGAAAATTGACATTGCCAAATGGAGACTATTATAAAGGTACTTGGGTAGGTAGTCATATGAATGGTTATGGAAGATATCAATATCAAAGTGGAGGTTACTACGAAGGTTGGTGGAAATAAGACTTATTCCATGGAGAAGGAATGCTGACTTATGAAAATGGTGATATTTATAGAGGAGAATTTTAGAATGGTTTAAAGCATGGAAAAGGAATATACTTGCATCAAAATGGTGACCAATATGAGGGCGAATTTAAAAATGATATGAGAGATGGAACAGGAGTATTGAGAATGAAGAATGGAGACAGGTATGAAGGAGAATGGTCAAGCTCTCTCAAAGAGGGCAAGGGAATCTACTATTACTCAAATGGAGATAGATTCGAAGTATTTATATCATGAATTTAGGGTAATTTTGTGGGTGGAAAGAGATCTGGTCATGGAGTTCTTTATTGGTCAGAGAAATCATCAGTAAGTGGATTTTGGATAGATGACATAATGAATGGACAAGGAGTTTTAATGAAGGAAAATGGGGATAAATTGTAAGCCCTTTTTAAAAACAATAAATTAGTTGCATGATTTTGATTATTATTACAATATACTATACTATTATTTATATAAATATTTATCATCCTTAGTCAGATGGAAAGTGATTGATTCTGTCTTCTTCACAAGAAATTATCTGATCTTTTAAAGCAATTTCTTTTTCTAATATTTCAGACAAATCTTAACCAAGCAATTATAATAACCGTTAATTTAAATTAATTAATTGATATTGCCCTTTCATTTCCTATTTCTGAATTTATTGATATGAATTCACCAAATCGGTAAATTACTTAAATAAAGCCAATTCTTAAGATTTTGTATCTATATCTCCAATAATAATCCTAAATTCATTATGAGAATTACTTTGTCCGTCTTCTCATTTATGAATCTTAGTACAAGGCAATTATTGGTTTTTAACTGAAATTGAAAATATCAATTTGATTGTTATCTAAGAGTATTTTTTTGAATTTTTGTATTTCATGTAATTATTTGAGAATATATTATATATCTAACTCCTTGTTTACTTGATTACTACAATAGATATCTAAGTATTACATAGCTTTTTCTACAACAATTCCGTCATCATTTTTCAAGCAATCAAATTGTAGGAATGATGCAATTATCATCCTTAAGCCAATCTCAACCTTATATTTTTTTTTCACATATTGACAAAATTAATCAAAGTATTTGGAGACTTAACTTTTCATCTGAGTCATCATAGGTTTATCAGGAACTGTTTAATTAGTAATAAGGTTGTTCTTTTAAATATTCTAAATCTCATATTGGTCGTTATCTATCCCATCCTAATAATAATAAACAATAAATTACGTTTTGTTTATCAATATTCAAACAAATATCTGGAGATTGGCCTATAGAGTCAATTTTTTTATTTGAACATCTTTTTTAGGTTGCTTATTTTTATTTAGATTTCATTACACTGCTAGATATATTTCTCATATTTTATTTTTTCAAACTCATATCAAATTCATATAGATCATTTGCCATTTGTATCTTTAGATGTTCTCGATTATAAATCGATACAAAAATGCCCACAATCACAATCATGAACTAAGTGAATCCTCCTAAATAACTTAGCAATTCATCTAATCTCATAAAATCCCTTTATATGATGTATTTGTAAGGACTTCTACTAAAATAGAAGGCTCCGTAATAATTTTGAGTCAATGAGTTAATAGAAATCTATTCTCTTTAATCTCCATATTCTCTATAAGGGAAGGTTTCCATTTCAATATCTGGGTACATGAGTATGCCTTTATCCGAGCTAATTTCTTTAAATCTAAAGAAGATATCGGATTAGATGAACATAGTATTTGGAACAAATGAGTAAAATGTATCTGTGGATAAAAATGGTTATATGTAGTCTTTGGGTTTTTATGCATTGATGAGCTAATTAAAAATAATTTTATATTTATTACATAATTTGTTTAATAGAGTTAAAACCTAAAGCTCCCTGAACTCTAAGTTGTCTCTTGAATTTGTTCAGGAGATTTGCAAGTCGGTTTCCAAGAGAATGTACTTTCCGAATTGTTTACGCAATTCTTCACAGAAAATTTTAAAAAGTAGTAATCAGTACCTAAATTATAATTTTGGATCTTACTTGCCCATGTACCACCAATTGTGAGATTCAATGTATTTTCATTATTTAGATTTGGACATAAAAAATTTGATATATTTAATTTATTATATTGCTCTTCAAAGCTAATATTGTATTTTTCAAATATGCTTGCGAAATGACTTTACGTACATTATACTAAATCTATGTATTATGATGGATATTTGTATTAAGTTCCATTATCATACCTATGGTAATGCCTTTGTTCGATAGTGATATTGAAAAAGGGATTATTTATGAAGTCTGATTGTTCAATTTAAATTGCAAACATAAATATAGATGGATCTAATTTTAGTAGTTGTGGATTATCTTCAAAAATTAATGATTCATTTGAAGTCACAGTTGTCATGCTAAAGAAGCTTAAGATATTTGAGTAAAAGAAACTAATAATCGTGGCTGTCATGCACATAGACAGAAATCCACCAAAACTTGTTTTATACTTCTCCCTTTATCTAAAACTCAAATTTATGGATTGACCAAAAATATCCACTGATCTAAGAATTTCTTAAATTTAAGTTATCATAATTATTATTTAAATTCACATTATATGATATTGTTTTAATATTCAGAAATCTTTTAATTTATTAATAATCCTTTAAGGAGAATCCTCAGACTTGGCTGCATTAAGAAAAGAAATTATCTTCGTGTTTTAAGGGTAATTCATTTATTCCCAAATATACCCTACTTCATTGAAACCACATTTATGAAATGTAAATAAGCCCACTAATTCGTCTATCAGACTAAAATTTTTTAAAAACACATACTTCTAATGGTTTCCTAGTGTTCTATAAAATATGGGTGCCACAAGTACAGGTGCCATTTGAAAGTGTTGGAAAGACCAAATTACAAATTAACACTGATATAGATTAAATACTTTTGGAAACATGTAAAAATCACCATTGAGATGTCTTTGTATTTCCAATGAATATTCTTCTTTAACTCTACCAGTATTTTTAATAGTTTATTATTTCCAGAACTCTAGAGTTTGAGTTCCATTGATGCTACTCAATAAAATTTTGAATTATGAACTCCAAAATTAATTTTTGATTGTAAGATTCTGAAGAAATTTCATGGTTTATACTTCATCTGTAGTTTATTCATATTACGATAAAACCAAGCCTCCCAATAAGAATTGCTGTTCCTTTCTTTCTGGAAGATTATAAAGTCGAGCGTATTTGTTGTAAAACACATAATTTTGAGGGTACTTTTAATCACTTACTTATTACTTTTCTTATTCGTAATTTATAAACTGAAAATATGAAATTCTGTTACTTCTTCAAGTATTAATTAATTTTACTACTAAGTAAAATACTATCTATTTTAGTAAAAGAAATCCCAAATTCCAGGAGTTTAGAATGATCTGATCATTTCAAATATTTTATCCTTTTCACTCTGATCATATTGAGATATTTTATCAATAAACAGTGAACAAAATGAAGTAATAGTTGTTTTTTATTTGAAATCACATTATGAAAGCAATTCCTTTAAGGCATTGAAGTGTAAATTCCAATTAAATTTAACTATGTCACTTTTATCTAGTTTATTTGCAATTCTCAGGATTGAAATATATTATTACACTTTATAATTAATGATATTTATTACTTGCTAGTTATGTCATACCATTTTTATAGGTTGCGATGGAATGTTCGAATTCATTTACTGTTCTATGTAAGAAAGTTTAATCAAAGGTGGTTCCTAAATGATGATATCCACAAAAAATATCACCATAACTATGAGTTGGAAATTTCTTTATTTATGTTGCTATATATTCAAAAAGCTCAGGAAATGCATACAATGGTTTTTAATGCAGGGTGTGAAGCTCAGCAAAATATCTAAATTAAATTTTGTTCTACAATTAACCTAAAGCATTTAAGTAAAATTTAGACTTAAGATTACTTTATATTTAATTAATTTAGCACTTAAATCAATTAATGATCATATTCTGTTAAATTAAACTTTCTAGTCAAAGCCCTAAGTAATCTTACATATTGTTCCCCAGGAATACTTTTGTGGATTTTAATGTGTGTTAAAATTTGATCTTGAAATTTATTTGTATCACTTCTTAGAAGAGTTAAATTGTAATAGGTGTCGCATAGAACATTTATTGGATATTGCAATAAATTATCGGCTTTCTTTGCCAAAAATTATCGAACAGGTTCTAATTTTCTATCCTAACCCAGATGATCAAAAATATGAGAAAACGAGTCTAAACCACATTATAGTCCTAAAATTGGATAATTAAATAATTAACCATAATTATCCAGTTGGGAATGAGATTGAGGGAGTCTCTCCAGTATTTCCTAATACTCTCTTGATTTGATTGCCTTATCAATGTTACGATTGACATAGTTGAATTCCTTGATACTTGAGGACAATCTACTAAGCATTGTGTTGATGTCTTTGAGTTGAACACAGAAAGGTCTTTTGGATATAAATTATAACATTTTTATTATTTAATGTTTTATAACCTTCCGAGAACTCCATATATTAAAACAAGAGTATAACCTAGAGTTTTATACAGTGGATTTGAAAAGTACAAGTAAGCTTCTATATCAGCGCAAAGATAGTAAAGGTTCAAAATACCTTTGAATATTACCATTACTTATAGAAGAAAAAAGAGTATTCAGACTAGTAGAAGGAATTGTTGGAAGGATTGAAATTGGGGAACGAAGATCTGAAGAAGTTATCCTATTCAGTAAAATGTTTTGGAGTGAATAACAAGGAAGGAAAATTTGGTGTTCAGAGCCAGCGTAAATTTATGGGTGGGTCCTTCGAATCTCATCCCACCTGTGAGGTGAATGTTTAAAGTGAAAGAATATCATATCCTTTCAAGTCAAAACGCCTAATTGCTAGCCGAAGGTAATTAAGAGACAAATAGAAACCCCTCTCCGAAATCATCAAATTGCCAGAGAGACCCGAAACAGTTAGAACAGAACTTGCCTCAAACGCCGATAAAATAGTTAAGAAATCGCGCTTAAAGTTTAAACAATAACATTCTCAACCATAGCCCGAGATAGTATTCGAGAAAGGAAAAGCTAAGTATCAATCTTATAGTCGTCTCCTCTCAGAGGCCCATAGTCATGAAAGTTTTTATAAAATTCTCAGTCCTTGATATAAATATCTTTTATTTATTTTAAGTTGATCATTATTTATACTAAACTATCATTATTTTTATACATCAATGATACAACTATTAACTCAAATAGTATATGATCTTAATTGCTTATCATAGAATGAAGAAGTCACTATTAGATTATTATACCAATCCATAGCATAAGCAAGAGAAGTATGCTCTTTAAATTCCTAAAGAATTGAAACTATGATATTTATGATAATTACCTTATTTGTTGTTAATTTCAATTAACTCGTATTTATGCTCTTAAAATAGTCCATTCAAATATAGATTTCCTCTTTTTATAATTCTCCATATTCCTCCTTCTCTTTTGTATTCTTCAGTTGGAAAATTGGGTTATCTTTTATCAAATATTCGAATATAGCCATCAAAAGACCCTGTAATTAAGTTATGCTCTCCATCGTTTAATAAGTAAGTTATTCCTTAAGAATGCGATCTTGTTGTTGTATAAATATAAATACTTTCTGTCCTTTCTCAATAATCCAATTCTTGCATCGTAATAATTGAGACAAGCATCATCACTTCCACTATAAAATAGATCTTAATTTGTATTATCTAAAAGTGTGCACCATACTGAATACTCATGAGATTTTTATTAATAAATAATCTATCCTTCTTCTTCTTTTNGTGTTGATGTCTTTGAGTTGAACACAGAAAGGTCTTTTGGATATAAATTATAACATTTTTATTATTTAATGTTTTATAACCTTCCGAGAACTCCATATATTAAAACAAGAGTATAACCTAGAGTTTTATACAGTGGATTTGAAAAGTACAAGTAAGCTTCTATATCAGCGCAAAGATAGTAAAGGTTCAAAATACCTTTGAATATTACCATTACTTATAGAAGAAAAAAGAGTATTCAGACTAGTAGAAGGAATTGTTGGAAGGATTGAAATTGGGGAACGAAGATCTGAAGAAGTTATCCTATTCAGTAAAATGTTTTGGAGTGAATAACAAGGAAGGAAAATTTGGTGTTCAGAGCCAGCGTAAATTTATGGGTGGGTCCTTCGAATCTCATCCCACCTGTGAGGTGAATGTTTAAAGTGAAAGAATATCATATCCTTTCAAGTCAAAACGCCTAATTGCTAGCCGAAGGTAATTAAGAGACAAATAGAAACCCCTCTCCGAAATCATCAAATTGCCAGAGAGACCCGAAACAGTTAGAACAGAACTTGCCTCAAACGCCGATAAAATAGTTAAGAAATCGCGCTTAAAGTTTAAACAATAACATTCTCAACCATAGCCCGAGATAGTATTCGAGAAAGGAAAAGCTAAGTATCAATCTTATAGTCGTCTCCTCTCAGAGGCCCATAGTCATGAAAGTTTTTATAAAATTCTCAGTCCTTGATATAAATATCTTTTATTTATTTTAAGTTGATCATTATTTATACTAAACTATCATTATTTTTATACATCAATGATACAACTATTAACTCAAATAGTATATGATCTTAATTGCTTATCATAGAATGAAGAAGTCACTATTAGATTATTATACCAATCCATAGCATAAGCAAGAGAAGTATGCTCTTTAAATTCCTAAAGAATTGAAACTATGATATTTATGATAATTACCTTATTTGTTGTTAATTTCAATTAACTCGTATTTATGCTCTTAAAATAGTCCATTCAAATATAGATTTCCTCTTTTTATAATTCTCCATATTCCTCCTTCTCTTTTGTATTCTTCAGTTGGAAAATTGGGTTATCTTTTATCAAATATTCGAATATAGCCATCAAAAGACCCTGTAATTAAGTTATGCTCTCCATCGTTTAATAAGTAAGTTATTCCTTAAGAATGCGATCTTGTTGTTGTATAAATATAAATACTTTCTGTCCTTTCTCAATAATCCAATTCTTGCATCGTAATAATTGAGACAAGCATCATCACTTCCACTATAAAATAGATCTTAATTTGTATTATCTAAAAGTGTGCACCATACTGAATACTCATGAGATTTTTATTAATAAATAATCTATCCTTCTTCTTCTTTTTGTAAAATCACCTCTCCATTATCTCCTCCTAATAATAAACTTTGTTGGGCATTGCAATCTAGATATAATAATTTAATGTCTTAAAAACATTCCACAAAGGATTGCTTGTTTTTTAAATGAAATTTATTGTCCTTTATTTCAACAGTCCAGACATCTCCTTTCCAAGTACAAAGTGAAATTTAATTATTGATTATTTTAAAATGAAGTATGCCATCACAATCCAGTTTATCTATAATGTTTAAGGTTTTGTTTAACAACAACAACACTCCAGCTTTTGTATCATCATTAATGAAATCATAAGTAGACACTACTATGTTATTTTCATCAATAATGGAAATACAATCAGGACAATAATCTAAAAGTATATTATTCATAAAGTATAATTAAATAAAACAAAATATTCATATTTTTAATAACAAAAAATCAAAAATGATATTATAGTAATGCTTTATAGTTACTCAAATCAAGCATTAAGTATCAATTGGTAATGAGAATTGATGTTAAATGTATTTTAATATATTATTTAATTCGCAATTGTTTACTAATTCAATAGGTTCCCCTTATATTTCCTCTCTGTAAAATACTGTTAGTATATTTTGTTTAAATTAGAGTTTCTTTAGATAAGTGATTCAATCTCATTTAGAATGCACAAAAAGATCTTTTCTGGCAATTTTTTAAATGATTGATCTGTTTTGGGCTCTTGAATGTTTTCAGAGCTATTTGCAGTTCTGTATGAACTTTTATAGTTCTTATCATTCGCTTTTCATACTTCTGTAGTTATAAATTCTTGATTTGGTTATTAATTAAAATAATGGAAATTTAGTTCACAGATGAGAAATTCGAATATCATTTTAGCGATTAGATATATGAAAATTTAAGAGTTATTGATGACCCTTCGAAAGTAAAGGAATATTTCATCAACTTAATGAGTGATTTTATAAAAGATAAGGAAGTAAAAATTGAGCCATTGAGTAATCCAAATGAGTATTTGGCATAAGTGGGGAATGGAGACTGCTATTTAATAGAAGAAAATAGAATTTATAAATGCAATTCTTTTTAAGCCCTGAAATCAAAATATTTGCAAAACTGTTCAACAGCTTTAAGTAATTTGATTGATCTAACCTTAAATAAGTGAGAAATAGTTAAATATTTTATAAATTTATTTAAAATTTCTTTATTTATTATTAGAATACTTCATAAACTCATATCTAATAACTTTGTGTTATCATTCAATAATAGAAGTATGCAAAATAATTTTATGATTCTATTAAAGTCAAATTTTGGAATCATTAAATTTAATTTTCAATAAAATACACATTACAAAATTGAAAAGTTAACAAAATTAATTGATTTATTAATCTAAACACTTTTTCTTCATGAACATTTTATATTTAATAATCCCCATTTAAATTGATTTAATTTATTATCAATATTAAATTTTTGAAAATAAAATATAAACAAAAAGCATATATAAATGGATATTTAATAACACTAATTTATCATCATTCACTAACTGTAAGTTTAGCTTCATTTTGTAAAATTTGATCATAGATTTCTATTAATTTGTTTCCTAACCTATATCCTCCGACAATTAAGTTTTCTTCACAAAATGCAATGGCCTGCTTTTCATAATCGCTGCTGTAGTTATTTGATGTCGCTACCATTGGGTATAAAAATTATTGGGCCTATCTAAAACCAAGGTAAGTCCAAACAGAGGGATTTCTAGGTTTCAAATGGGTTATTACGTCATATCATAATTGCTGTATTTTGATATTGGGAATTTCTTCATCAAATCCTTTGACCACTTGTCTAGATACTCGCTATCAGATTAACTTAAAGGTCTTGCCATAAAGCTATTATTAGGAGCAAAGGTGAGAGCCCCAGAATCCCAAAAAGAATGAAAGTTCATCATTGTTCCATTTTATAACTAAATATATATAAAATTTAAATACTTAGATATTCAAAAAGTTGCCACCAGCATCTCCATCAGGATAGCTACTATTATAAAAGGATGTGTCATGTAGAGGTTGATGAATATCACCGATCACATGCAATAATACTCTCAACATCTATGCTTTAAAAACTGTATGTCGATTTCTAGAAGTCTTGGAGTTAGTTAAAACTGCCACTGCTTGGTTTATAGCATATATAGAATTGATATTTCGACTTTCATCATCAATCTTTATCAATAATCTAAGAAATAGACTAACATTATACCCATCAGGATTGATTGGTCTGTCAGTATAATGCCAACTGAATAGAAATTCAGTTCCAGTTTCTTTTATATCATCTAACCATACAGCTGCCTCCGCAAAGGTATTGGATTTACCATCTGTAAGGGAATTGAAGTCTTAGACTAATGAGTCTGCCCAAGCTAAGACATCTGGTCTATTATCCTTAAGATAATTCTTTGCAATTTGGGCTGTCATCATATGACCGACCTCCCACCAGCAATAGACAAAAGAAATAAGATAACAGAGAACCAATCCTTTCATTAATACGATTATTAAATACTCAAATGTAGTAAATTAATACCTCATATTTATATAATCAAAATTTCTTAATATAATTACTTTTTTATTAAGATTTGCTTTAATTTTATTTATTTCTGGATGACTTTTATAATTTATCCAAATCATATAATTTAGTGGATCTCAAATTTCCAATTGTTGTTTAAGTCTACATGCTTTCTTGTCTAAATTTAGGAGATTAACAAATTGGAGTGTTCTAGTGCTTCTCTTAATCTATCTTCTTCATTAATATTCTATTTTGATTATCATTTAATTTTTTATTTGTTGTGTCAGATAATACTCTTTCATCCATTACTGTTGGATTGAATGATACCAATTGATTAGTGGGAACTAAATAAGTGGAGTCAGCTTTCTAAGGTGAAGGTGATTAATCTTCAACTTATTGTTCAAATATTGATGGATCACTAAATTAATCCAATAACTATTAATAAGTTGGTCTTTTGTCAGGAATAAAACTAACACAGGCTAAGATTAGCTTTTCTAATTTTTCTATAAAAATTATAAGTAATTCTTACTGTTTAGATTAAATTGTGTAAATAAATTGATATATTTATCGAATTTTTCAGTCAAACAACATTTCTCATAATTATAAATTTCTGCTTCGTATGGAGTTACTTCAGTGAATATTGCAATCATAATTAATCCAAAATTAAATATAGTGGCTTTTTCATTATTGAATGTTTTTTAATCATTCATTCTTAAGCATTTCATTACTTCTGGTGCGAAATACCAATCTTCACACTTCAAATCTCCAGATAATATACGCTAATAATCCCCTTGTTATGAAAGCAGTTGTTGATAGACGATTCTCACTTAATCTCCAAACAGTAGTAATTTTGATAGACAAAATTAGCATGTGTCTGCTTTGCAAGAATCCAAATAGCTCAATGTTGTTAGAATGTTCACACTAAATTTTTGCACATTTATTTAATAAACATTTTTCAAGTGTTTTTCTGTATAATCTAATGTTAAATGAATTTTGTGAAATGTTGAACACAATTACGATTCTACCTCATGTTCTATTTTATTAATTCTAACTAAATTGTACTAGAATGATAAGAATATAAAATACTTATTCTGAGTTCAACTTTTAGAATTCATCATACATTTTCTTTGCTTCATCCTCCTGCACCATAAATGTACGTAAACATTAATATTTTTCTTAACAGTTCTTAAATACTTTAATTGGTCCATATAAAGGATGATTGAGTTGTTTAACCATTACCCATTGATTTGAATGAATAATTTAAGGTTTTAATTCCGTGTTACCCATAAATTTGAAAAAATAATTCTGTTAAATAAAATTTATATAATATGAACTTTACATAAATAATAGCATTCTTCATCTAGATCTTTTTGATTTAAATTTTCAAATCTTAAATTCATAAACGAAATAATACCTTCTAATATTTTCCATAATAAAAAAATCCAATAATTTTCTACTAGGAAACTTCTCTAAGATTTGTGTATTATAAGGAGAGTTCCTGTATTTATAATCAATTCTTTTCCATTATAAGTTGTTTATATTAATGAAACCACTATAAATACTATTTAATAAGAAGAATTTACTATACTAAATCTGATATGATATTAAATTATAAGATAAATAAAAATAATCAGAGGGTATTTAATAATTAGAAATAGATAGTTAGAGCTAAAAATTATAAATGAGATAAACTTCTAACTACATTATATTTAACCTTTTCTATTTCAAGATTATAAAAAGGAGAAAGGAGCTTATTCATATGAATGGTCTTTTCATTTAAATCTTATTGTTTGGAAAAATATTTATATAAAATAGAGTCAACAGTTCTATCCATTCAAATGTTCGAAAATGGTTTGACTCCATAAATGTTTCTGATTTAGATGCTTAATCTCTTTTGTTAAGTTAAAGGCAGAGATTTCTCTGGAGAATCATTCTAGGATAACTTAGTACATGATATGTGTCCTTGGCTGAAATTCCTATGTACTCTATTAAAGAGAGGTTGAGAAATAATTAATGATTTATTAAAAGAAAATAATTTTAAGAGTGGTTTCTAGGGTTATTTAGATTTTTGAATGATAAAGTTAGGTATTTTCTTTAGAGATCCTCTTTTATTATTATCAGAAATTTTGATGGTTTCTTATCTTGGTCTAATTCCTATCAATATCTTTAGGACTTTTGTATGGTCCTTTAAGCCTGCTTTAGAATGAGGCATAAATACTTTTTAATGCAGAATTATATTTTACAGTGGGTATTAGTCTTTTTAATTTATCGAAAACTAGCTTTCCTAATTTCTAATTTCTATGCATGGGAATTTCTATTTTGATTTATTGCATCCATTTTTTTGAATAGTTTTCATCTCCAAATATAGAGGCCCTGGCAGATTTTTGTCTAAATCTCGAGACATGAAAAGAGGAGTCGCATTTATACTTCAATTATTGCAAATATCTATGAGATTTAAAACTTGTCTAATGCTATCTTTCAGACTATTCAGACTATAGAGTAAAGGATCTGGAGTTTAATTTGAGCATGGTTTGTTTTATAAATATAAATTGGATAATATTATAATATTTTCTCATTAATATTATATTTTGTAATATCATTGATCTTTTAAAGTTATTATAAACTTTGGATAAATCCGATTCCCCTTAATGTAATAATAATCTCCTTCTCTGAAATTATTTTCAGAATAATCACTTATTAAAAACTATTACTTCAATTCTTGAACTTAGCCTAATAAAACCTAGACCACAATTATCTGTTTTTCTCCTTTCTAAGACTCACAATAATTATCTTTAATGTAGGCCACTGTTTTGCCACATTTTACATAAGGTCCTGTATGCTACACATAATTATAATACGAGTTACATGATCAAAAGATAACGACAAAGTAACCCTTCCAATCTCCTCTTGAGCACAATCTTTTCTATAGCCAAAGAGCATCAATTCCTCATTCTAATTTTTCATTTTATATTTTGTTGATTAATATTTGGCCCACATATCATAATTCTGTACCAACTATATAGTTTTAATATCCAAAAATGGAAAAGCTTATTTAACTTCCCCTAAATCTGGTTGTAAATCGTCAAAATAATATAAACTTTAATAGCTAGAAGGATTCCAATCTTATGGGATTTATTGTAGAAACTCCAAGACTTCCAAAATTAATTATTGATTCTTCTCAAAAGTCTTAATTTAAATTGATTGATTTTAGTTGAATTCTCCTTCTATTTATAGAGCATTATTGTTCAGGTAATTCAAGAAACTAAAGTATATTTGATCATTAGTAGAAGGTAAGATGATTTCAAAGGTAATTACATGTTTTTCTATAATGTTCTAAATGGCTTACTTAATTTTCTCAGCTTGGTTCTACTTACCCTATTCAATATCTTGGGCTTAATTTAAAAATGCTTTTGCTCTACAATAAATCTGATTATTAGGGTTGGGTGTTTCTTGAGGTGTTTCTGCAGTTTACTTTTATTTTATGAATTCATGTATAAATTAAAAATATTTGTCAGTTTTAATTTCTCTTCTTAATCTTCTTTTGTATTTTGTGTCTAAATTAATTTAATACATCTCATCCTTAGATTTGAACAAAATCAAATACTTTTTTAAAAATACAGTGAATTGATATTTTTTCATCTAAATTCTCTCATTAATATATTAACTCAAGATATCATCTGCTTGTTCATTTCCAATGTAATACAATCCATCCTTTTATTTGAGCATTTTAACCTAGCCACTGGCATGATCTAAGATTGTTCCTTTATTTACATCAACAGTATGAGTTCCAGGTTAATAAGAATAAGGAAATCTTAGCATGAGTTCATTTTTCTTATTGTCTGCCTTATAACTTTAATAAGCAACTTCAATTTGTTCATTGATCATGGCATCATCATAATCATTATATTATCTTCCATCTGACCATTGCCATTAGAAATCTTAAAAGGTTTCTCGCATTGAAGTAACCAAAGAATTAATCAGTTCCTATTCATAAAGAGGTTTGAGTTTGAGGTTATCAACAAATATTGTAAGTTATTAAAATTTAGTTTAATCTGAACACATAAATCCTTATAATAATTTTGGGAAGATATCCTTTACATCTTCCAACAACACTCCAAGTTGTTTAAATGGTAGTTTTTATTTTTGACAATATTAAAAATATTCTCTAATACCTATTATATTTGAATGCACCTTATCCTCTTTTTAAAATATTATTTTTTAATTTACGTTTATTTTACTGTTGAATTTTATGAAGACCTCACATGTTAAATTTGTATCAAAATTAACTTCTTTAGTTAAAAAATTAATGAATTAATTTTTATTATTTTGTTTTTTTATTTCAACCTATTTCATTTCTCCTGAATCTGTGGGTGTTTAATATTCATTAAAATTGAACAGCAATTCAAATATCTATTCATCACTCGCTATTTGAATCTCCTTTTGACAATTACGATATAAGTATTTCGCTTCCATCTTGTTAATTCCTATGGGTATTTCTAATAATTAATTATCCAAAATCTTTTCATATTTTGAAAATATCTCCAAAACTGCCATATTATTAGTCGGACATTCTAAATAAATAAATTCACCACTTTATGACAATTTAATTGAAAGTATTTCTTAAGATTATTGAACTATTTTATTTTTGTAATCCTAATAGATTTATAAAGTATGTAATTTAGATTTTGGTTTATAGGATAAAAGAGATTATTACTTTTTGCTATCCAATAAGCTTAGCATTTAATTTAAATGTTTTGAGTGTATAAGACAAACTATTTTGTTAATTTCAACATGCACTAAAGCACAATATTTCTGTTAGAATTGATCAATTGTCAGTTCTAATTAGTTTAGTTCATTCAACTACAAATTATATACTTGAAGTTTTGACAAAGTTTCATTTAATACTTATTCCAAAGTTATAATATCATTATTTAGAACTCGATTAAAATAAACCAATACTTCAATATTTTACACTTTTATATCATTGATAGATAAGATATATTGTTGTTAAGTAATATCCATAAATAGTTTTTTCAAGATCTGCTTTTTTTGTTCCATTCCAATTTACTCTAAATAATAAGTGAGTGTTTAATCTACTTTAAGATACAAAGAGGATGATTTCAATTATTTTAAATGTATATTAACTTAAGCAGCAAACTATTTTATTTTCTAGATGGAGTTATTCAATTTAATTCCATGTTAGCAATGTTTAAAATTAATACTTGAATTTGTGATTAATGGCAATTTACAAATATAGTTTTCAAAATTTAATTTATCCTAAATGTTTAATCTTAATATTTTAGAGGCTCTGTCTTAAATTTCTTATTAAAACTATTAGTCTACATTGTAATAATCATCATACTACTCAATTTCTAGATATGCTAATTTTAAAAAACTAGAAATATCAAATCTATTATATCCAACCTTTATATTAATATTTTAGTGTTATTTTACAATTTCCGACACAATTTCCTTTAATTCTATTCGTGAGCATTTTGGTTTTTTTATAGAGAATACAATAGTGTGAATATTAAAATTGTCTTAGATGAAACTATTCAATAGGACTTGCTTCTGTTGAATAAGAGGATCTTATTATTATTGCTGCACATTTTAATTGAAATTTAAAATGAATACCAATCTTTTTAAACATATTACTTGTTCATGAGGTTCTTTAATATCCCCAATAAGCAAATTTTCTTGGTTTGTATCCAAAATCTTTGCCAATTTATCTAGAGATTTCCATAAAAATCCAATTTTAGAGGCTTTCTGTATTTCATTTTTGCAAAATACCGAAAATACAATTGAGCTTTGTATTTACATATTGATTTGATTTAAAAGGTTTTATTAGTTTACATTGAGTTGTTAATTGGTTCTATATTCACTTAAACTCCAATCTGGATAAATTTTAATTTAGGATAATTAAGCTTTTTAATAGAAATGATTCTTCATAAGATTGTGAACAGCAATAAATTTCAATTTTTTTGATATTCCAATAGCTTGGTTGAAATGTTATTTATGCCATTAAGGATCCTACTATAGTTAATTTTGTAGGTCCAAGTTAAAGATGTCATTTTGTTCAACGATCAAATTTTGATTTTGGATTAATGCATTTTATTTTTGACTATCATATTCTAAAATGATTTCTCCTTGAAGCTTCTCCAAAATCTCCAATATACTTTACTTTTAATCATTTTAATCTAGATTGATTTTCAATTTGATTATGTTATTCATTTAATTTATTGTATAAAAATATTTAAACTTTATAATCACAAAATAGTTCTTGAGTA